CCGCATCAGGAGTCTCTGGCATCGCAGAGGAAAGCGGGCGAGATCAGCGGAGTTGATGAGGGGCACGAGAGGCTTGTGGTCAGTCTCGACGGTGAACTGAGGACCGCCGTAGATGTAGTGGTGGAAATGCTCGCATGCCCAAACGATGGCGGGACACTCTTTCTCAATCTGGGCATAGTGCTGCTCAGTAGGAGATAGAGAGCGGGACGCATAGGCAACAGGGCGCCAGTGGGAGCCATCAGGCTGCAGGAGGACAGCACCCAGTCCGTAGCTACTGGCATCAGCACTAATACGGATGGGCTGGTCCGGCGAGAACAGTGCCAAGCAGGGAGCAGTAGTAGCGAATTCCTTGAGGCGACAGAAGGCAGTTTCTTGCTGGGTGTCCCACTGCCAGGCGGTGTCGGCCTTCAGGAGAGCACGGAGCGGGGCACTGACATTGACCATATCTGGCACAAACTTCGACAGAAACGTGAACATGCCCAGAGCACGGGCTAACTCGGGCACGTTGGTCGGTGACTTCAGAGCTTGGATGGCAGACACCTTGGCTGGGTCTGGGCGGACATCGTCCCAGGAACGTCAGGGACTTCATACGGAGGCGACTCTTGGCGGGGTTGAGGAGTACGCCTGCGGAAGCGAGAGCTGCGTGGACAGCAGTGAGGGCAGCATCGTGCTCAGCTAGAGTGGCACCGAACACGAGGATGTCATCCATGAAGACGACCACGTTGGGAATGTGCCCAACGATTTCCAGTAGGCGACGCTGGAAAACCTCTGGCGCACTGGTGATACCAAAGAGTAGACGGTTGAAGTGAAACCGGCCAAACGGTGTCATGAAGGTAGTGAGTGACGCACTGTCGTCAGCCAGTGGCACTTGCCAGAACCCAGACGCCGTGTCAAGCGACGAGAAGACCTTGGCTCCGGACAGCTTGCCCAGGGTGTTTTCGATGGTCGGCAGAGTGAAGTGTGAACGCTTCACGGACTGGTTCAGGCGTTTGAGATCCACGCAGATGCGGACGGAGCCATTCTTCTTGAGAACGGGCACCATGGGCGCGCACCAGTCGGTCGGATCAGTGACTGGAGAGATGACTCCCATCTGGACCATCCCGTCAAGTTCGGTCTTGACCTTGGCTTGCAGGTGGATGGGAACTCGTCATGCGGTCTGGCAGTGATATGGTTGGGCATTGTCTTGCAGCTCGATGGTAGCTGCAGGACCGGACATGCGACCAATGACAGGAGGAGCGGACGGAGGGCTTGCCGATGCCTCGGATACATCGCAAGACAGGAGGTTCAGGTCCTGGCACACACTGCGGCTCAGGAGGTTGCTGGGGCCATCAACAACAATAACACGGAAAGTGACGTTGCGGTCCTTCCAGGAGCTGGCAGCAACAAATGCGCCGTGTATGGGTAGAAGTTGGCCGTCAGGTCCAGTGACCTTAGTGGAGATCAGCGTGAGCTTAGGTTGAGGACTGAGGCGATAGAAGGAAGGCAGTGACAGGAGTGTGCAGTCTGCGCCAGAGTCCAGCTTGAACAACACTGACTGGCCATTGATGGGGAGCTCAACAAGCCAGGGTTCAGTTGAGTCAGGAATGGATACTGAACTCAAAACACAGATACCGGGTTCCTGTGACTCGGATGAAGCACTACCCATAAAACAACTCGCACTTGCACTAGCAGAATCACTCACCGGATGGTCAGACATCTCGGTCGCGCCCACTTGACGAGAGCTACGACACACTTTGGCAAAGTGACCACGACGCTGGCACTTACGGCACTCGACGGACCAAGCAGGACACTCGCGGCGCGAGTGACCACTGGATGAGCCACAGCCAGAGCAGGGAGCGCGCGGAGCAGAGGTTGCTGGAGGGCCACGTGTCGAGTAGCTAGGCGCGGACTGGCGAGATGCAGCGGGAGCATTCTTCGGTCTGCCAGTTCCACGAGATTGTTTGTGATGTCCGCGAATGACAGCGGCTGCGACGGAGGGCTGAGTGGCTGCGGAGCGCTGAGTGGCTAGCTGGATTTCGAGGGTCTCAGCTGCCTTGGCTTCCTTGAGAACATCGGCGAGGGTGAGGGAGCCTATGTCCTTTTTCTGCATCGCCTTACTCACTTCAGAATCAGCCATGTGGGCGACGAGGTGATCGCGGATCCGTTCTGACGGCTTGTCGAAACGGCATCTCGCCGCGACAGAGTGGAGTCGGCTTGAGAACGTGGCTACGGACCCACCGGGGAGCTGGCGGAGACGAGCGAACTGCGTCCGTTCGTGGATAACATTGTCCGCAGGTGCAAAGTATTTGTCGAAAGCATCAACCACTTTATCGAAGTCGTCCTTGTCGGAATCTTGGGCGAAGGACAACTCACGCTGGAAGATATCATCCGCAGTTGGGCCCAGAGAGTAGATGAGAGTGGAGATTTGGACGTCTGCAGATTCGGAAGAGAGTTTGGTAGCAATCTGGAAGCGTGAGAAACGGCTTTTCAAGCGGGGCCAATTCTCAGGTGCGGAAAAGTCGAAACTTTCAGGGGGCTGAAATTTCGCCATGGCGAGCGGGTCCGGTGCCGAGGGTTCGGGGTACCAGTTCTGACACCAAGTGTTGCGTTACTGCAACAGCACTAAGGGTAAATGCCCATGCACACTCTCTCAGCCCAACTCGACCATCACACTCCGGTAGGAATTACAAACTATACTTGATGAAGACAGAAGGAGAAGTGGAGAACACAGGGAACAGAGTAGGCATGTAAACAGCACAGGCACGCAACAGTTACCGCTGGTGCATGCGAGGTGCATGTGCGTACGCGAACCGGGTGTGAAATAGGAAGCGGGGTCAAATTACATATGGATGCACTATGCCAAATATATAGGCACAGGTAGGTGACTGTACACAATGTACACTGGTTTCAAAGCACAGCACACACACACACACACACACACACACACACACACACACACACACACACACACACACACACACACACACACCTCAGACCTCAGACCTGCCCATCGCAGAATCGATGATAGCGAACAGCTATGTTAGACATAGCAACTTGTGCTGGGATTACACCATTCAACAGCTTGCAAGGCTGATGAATTGACCGCTATTTTTTTAGCCTGGTATCCACCACACAGCTGTTTGAAGTGACTTTTTCTGGCCAGTGAATCCCTATTTTTCACACACACACACATACACACACACACACACACACACACACACACATGCACACACACACACACACACACACACACACACACACACACACACACACACACAAGCACTTGAACAGCCAGAGGCCAGAGCACAACAACACACACACACACACACACACACACACACACACACACACACACACACACACACACACAGTGGCACGCACAACGGTGCTACAAAGTACAAGCAGGAGCAAGGTGCGATCGAGAGAACACAAGAGAACAAGGTTCCACGGACTTACGCCGAGACCCGACGCGAAACAATTATTTGAAAATTCCAAATCGAATACAAGGAACAAAAACATTAGTTACATTACGCAGGGCAGACAAAGCATGCTCACCTGAGTAGGAGGTCCTATGACAGGGTTGAGCAGTCGCAGCGAAGCTGAGCCATCGCGAGGTCGTGGTGAGGAGACAAGATTAGGAGGACCGGCGAAAACGAAAAAAATCTCAGGGTCATCAACAAGGGTACCACTAGTTGGGCGCCAATTGTGGTCGGGGTTTTTATTGCCGACAATATGCCCTTCCGATTACTCTCACATACACCACGCATAGAGGGCAGATAATTGGTTCTTGTACCAAGGAGAGTCTCAGGAAGAAGGCAGAGAAGAAGAAACAAGAATGCGTACAATACGCGCATGCTCGCTGTGGCGCAACCTGCGCAGTCCGCGTGCAATCTGCACACAGTCCGCACGCAGTCCACGCGGACACAGCGCCACACAGAATAAATACACCCAAAAGGGGACCGGCCTCGTAGAGGTCACGGACGGGACCTCCACGAGGTCACGGACGGGACCTCCACGAGGTCATGGGCAACATACGCCCGCACCAAAAAATGCATCCTCTCCCGAGGATGGGATTTCTCCTGAGACTAATACTAGCAGAATTCGGATTGAGAGCCAAGGATTAAAGTGAAAAAAGAAGGACCAAAGATTTACAAGTTATCCGTGGTTTGTGTCCAACATTAACCAATTTAAGCAAAGATACCGGTGAGTCAGAACGTGCAGGTCATTGTATGTCGCTATCTCATGATCAGTCAGTTTTGTGCTAATTGTTGCATGTACTGACTCACCGGTATCTTTGCTTATATTTGTTAATGTTGGACACAAACAACGGATAACTTGTAAGCCTTTGGTCCTTCTTTTTCACTAGTAGAATTCTTCCTTGTATGTGCCATTCAGTAACCATTACAGTTAGCTCAGGTAAATAAACATCACAGTGTGCCTATAACATTCAGTCCTGCATTCCTACGAAACAAAGTGGTGCATCCTAGTCAGTGTACTGTTGTCCGTGACCTCTACGAGGTCGGTCCCCCTTTGGTGCATATAAGCCATAAGTCGTTAGCAGAGGGGGGGGGGGGGTGCACTGCATACTGCACTGGGTAGCCTGCATGTGATACGTGATCTGTGAAACGAGAGACTCAGAGTATGCACCTGCCTGAGCTCACACAGCACTTAGCTAACCGCTAGTACTTGTGTGGATAATACACCCCTCAGTGTTAGACTGGATACTGAGTGCACCCGGTTATTGAACGTCCCTTCTCAATATCTACTCTTGGATGCGTGCACTTGTTATTAGAGAACGTGCATGTTAGATATGTAACTGAATAAGCAGCCTTGTGCTTTAAAAGAAGAAAAGGGGCAAGAATGCCCTTAAATGGTGGGGCAGATGAGTACAATCTTCATTGCTTACATTTGGCTTGGCTTTATATTCATGAAATCGGGTATTGTGTTGCATGTGCCAGCTACTGTAGCTTCGACCAGATTCTCTATTCATTTTCTGTTGACTTTGCTATTGCCATGACTAGATCACTCCCTGTGATTGCTGGCTCTGCTGGAGGTGGACTTGCAGCTCTACTACTCATTGCTGCTCTTGCTTGTCTTGCTTGCAAGAGAGGGGAATCAGCAAGACAGTGTTCCACTCTAACTGTGAGGTCCTTCTACAGTACAAGTTTCTCTGACAAAGGGATGTGCCGCTATGTTTGGTTGTGCTTTATTATGTTTGGTGAAACGATTTCACAATGAACCATTCAATACTACAAACAAAGCAGCAATACTGGGGAAGGAGAGGAAACAATGCCCAGCTGGTATCACTGCAGAGTCTGCCATCAGCCTTGTAGCAGTGGCCAGTTTGCCATGCTGTATGCTAAGGTCCGGCCAATGCGGTGCAGGCACGGTGCAACTAGTGCCTTGCTTCAGCACACTGAGCTGTAGTGCTATGCTACACTGTAGTTCAACAACTGATTACTAAGAATTTGAAAGTAATGTGATCTGCCTTCATAGTAGGATTTGAAGACTCAGATGTTTCCAGTGCTTTTACTTCCTGATGTACCACCACTACTCCACTGGCCCGCTGTCTTGTAATGATCTGTTCATTACTCAGGTTGACCAGGACAATCTGATCTTGGACATTGTACCACCCAAGGTGGCACCGAACACTGCCGAGTTGAAGATAGCAACTGAGCATGATATCTCAACGGGTGATATGCTCGGAGAAGGATCATTCGGGCATGTGTACAAGGTATATGTACTAGGGCAGAATTACCTCCACACACCACAGCCTGTGTTGTGCAGTGCTTCCATGCGTCTATCAAAATGAGTGTATTTGTCTCTGGATTCCAGGAAGAAGCCGACGTGAAAGCTACTTTTGGTCCCGGTGTCCAACTTGTTGAAATTTTCTTTTAGAACACCAGCACTGCAGACCGGCTTGAGCCAAACTGTATCCATCTATGTATTGGACATGGTTTCCTTGTATCTGTAAAACCAATATTCTTACGCTCCTTTAGGTTACTGTTTTGTCCAAGGTATCAAGTATGAACTTTCACATTTACAAAAGTATATTCGTCCTCGTTTGTTGCCAGGATTCCGTGCTAAGTGCACCATAAAGAGCAAAACTATTGTGAAACTAATTGGCGCTGTGCTTTCTTATGCTATCAATCATGTGATTCACTCTTCACTCTTCCCCACTATCGTATCAGGGGGAATGGTCACCACCAGATAGCGAGCGAATAGTTGTGGTTGCTGTCAAGGTGCTCAAAGAAACTGCAGGCTCTGCTGGAAGCAGTGAATTTCTAGATGTGAGTAAAGTCAAGAGCAACTAAGCTTGATGTAGCACTGCTGGCACTTGCTGATTTCAGCTACAGTCAGACCTCGCTTATCCGGCCCTCTTTTATCCGGATCCCTCGCCATCCGGAAGAATATCGCTAGTTACCGATTTACAGCATATGCCATGCATACACCCAGTATGTAAGTTCGATTATCCGGTTCCCTCGCCTATCCGGATATTTTTGTGGAAAACGGATGTGTGCGGTTAAACGAGGTCTGACTGTACTACAGTACTATTGGGCAGCCGATGATGTGGCTCATCATCTGCATGTGTCAGTTGTGCATGCCAGGAAGCTAGCCATATTTTTAATTTTTTATTTGAATTTTATAGCGATGCTGGAGTGATAAATTCAACAGTTTGAGCTTGGCTTACTTAGAGACAGGTGATTGTGATGTAGCCACTGGTTTGGGGTTTTTCCTGGCTGGTCAGTCATCCATCCTTGTGTGTCCCTGTGTTTGTTCATCCATACATCTGTTGAATGCCCCCCCCCCCTTCTCCGCCTCTCTTTTTTCTCTCCCTAATTCTCTCCCTCGCACACTCTCTCACTCGCTGTCTCTTACTTCCTCACTGACTCTCACCTTCACTCACTCTCCCTTTCTTCATTTTGGACCTTTGGCACAGGAGGCAGTGGTGATGGCGTCCATGAACCACCCATATCTGGTGCGTTTGCTCTGTATCTGCATGGCACCTCGTGTCATGTTGATCACGGAGTTGATGGAACACGGATCGCTGCTCGCCTACCTACGCAAGCGCAAGAGGACGCTAACGGGCGACGTGCTTCTTCTTTTCGGACGACAGATAGCTGAGGTGAGTGCAATACAGATAGCTGAGGTGAGTGCAATACAGATAGCTGAGGTGACTTGTATTTTAAAACAGTACATAATTATAAACTATGCTTTCACGAGGATTGCTCATCAAGGTTGACACGAGGATTGCTCATCAAGGTTGAGGGCACCAATGCCAATGCCGGATCTAGTCAGTGTGCTGGTGATTAGAGGTTGATGTTCCCATGTGTCGTGAGAGTCCACGCCATGATAGTAGTGGCAATCTTTTTCACCAAGTGTCTTTGTACATCCCCTTCTTTCACTAGGGAATGGAATATCTGGAGGCAAAACGGGTGATCCACCGAGACTTGGCAGCACGAAATGTTCTTGGTGAGGCTCTTCTGATGTATTTGCTATGTGACATTGTATTGCATTCTTTGCTTTAATTCGCAAAGTCAAACAGGATCATAGCCCAATAGTATGATAGCGAAGGGTGTGTGTGTGGGGGGGGGGGGGCATTGCATAATGTTGTGATAGAATGTGTCATCAGTACACTAAAATGTCCTCTTGAAGCCAACCATCATGACCCTTACATTGTATACCGGTATGCTAAGGGTGTCCAAGACAAAGAGAACCCCTAAGATGTTCTGCTGTGTGCCGGTGCAATGCACAATGCCCACTGCCATCCCAGGTACACAGTCCCTGCTTAACCCTTTATGGACCAAATTATATTAGTGTGGAAATGCGGCATTCGATTGACAGTTGTAACTCAAGAACGGTTATGATTTGGTATATACAAGTTGTATGCAGATCAGTTTAGATGGACAACGCTTTCATTTTTTTTTTAAAGACCAGACCGATTTTGGATCAATAAAAGTTTCCAAAGTGAAGTGTTGAAAAACTGTTGAGTTCCATTGAGAGCGAATGCACTGTTGAATGCGCAATGTTCAGTAGGTTCTTTCGCGAACTTTTTTTTACTTATGACGTACGTAGATTTTATGCTCATTCGATCCGCATGCATCTCAGCTGTGGATTTATCGGAAAAAATTGAAATATGATGAAGATCGCCCGCTGAAATCCCCCCCCCCCCTTGAAGTTACTGTCCACAGTCTTTGAGTAGGCCAAGGTACGATCAGCTTGTTTTTGCGTGTCTTCTCACACTTCCCTAGCAAGTACACTACGTAGATACTGGCGATCTGTTCTGCTTTGCCTGCAGTTGCTGACCACGACTGTGTGAAGATCACTGATTTCGGACTTGCTCAGCTGTTGGATGTTGGATCAGAGAAGTTTCAACACACCAGTGGCAAGGTCAGTGTTACTAGGATGCACTGAGCCTGATATCGTCACAGTGTCTTTTCCAGCATGCACACCATCGCATCACAGCGGCCTGTATTTGGTATAGGAAATGCTGGTGAAAATACAGCTAACTGGAATACTGCTCAAACGTGCAGGATAGAACATATCCATAAAAGGCCAGGCCGTTGGAATTATTTTGTTACTCTGAGTTCCTTGCATGGTCTGATTGTGCTTGTTTTTCACGAAAGTATGAGGACGGATGCCAGAACAAACTGCCTGAAAGTCATGATTGCTAAGCAAGGCCTTCACACTGAGCTGCATTGTACTGTGCTGTGATCGGCCCAGATGCCAGTCAAGTGGCTTGCACCCGAGAGCCTGGAAAAGCTGGTGTTCACACACCAAACAGACGTTTGGTCCTACGGTAAGCACAGCGTGACTGCCAGCACGTCTGCCATGCACTGTATTTGTAATCACTAGTTCTAGATAGGATCGTCAAACACATCATGCATGCACTGGCTACTTTGAAATGCAAGAAAAATTAAATTCCATACAATTCCATTATACCGTACCACACCACACCACAAAAAGCTTTGGTATGGAATATGGATATCGACCCAGCAGGTTGATATCCAGATGTTCCTTGATCTGGCGAGTCCTTTGGGGGAAGGGACCATAGATTTGTTAGGCAATGGAAGATACACTATTCTGGTGTAATATACCAAGATGCCCCTTCAAATCCAGGCACTTCAACCAATCTTCCTGAATGGAATTCCTCCTTGGTTATGGCAGCCGCGTGGCCAGCATTGCTATCCAGTAATTGTGGTACAGTGCTCAGCTGTTGAGATAACTTAATCCTGCATGAGTGGCAATGGTGGCTTCCTAGCATGTTGTATTTGGCCCGGATAAAGCCTGTGTCAGTCTACTGACAAGGGGTTCCAGTATTACTTGGTTATCTGAGCTGGGCCTCTTGCTCAATACTAGCCCAGAGTAGTCCACCAAATGGTGTAATCGTGTGCAATGTGTTTCTTCTCACAGGTGTGACCCTCTGGGAGGTACTGACACATGGCGAGGAACCGTACAAAGAGGCGCCGTCGATGGCAAGTTTGCTGCAGCAACTCAGCAATGGCCTGCGCTTGCCAAAGCCACCGGTGGTTGGCGCTGCCTTGTATAGGATATTGACCCAATGTAAGTTAGACTGTTACTAAGAAAAGCTCACTAAAGGGAACGCACACTCACACATTCCACATTCGTGCACAACGGAAAGCGATTCGAAGAAACAATAACCTTGAACTTTCTACATGAACTCCGAAAAGCAACTGTTCACACCAACTAGTCTAAAACACTACTAAAAGTCCAACAACCAGGAACTAAACAAAAGCAGCGCAGCACAGCGCGGCGCAAGCTCCGGTGCATGCATCCGGGAACTCGCGAGACAGAAGCATGCACGTGACCTCAGGTCTACAGTCAATGCTACCATGAATGCAAGCATACTAGAAGCAGATGCGTAGCAGTACAGCACAACCATGCATGTGACATATAGTCGTTGGTTCAGACCTCGGGATCTTCTGAACATAGACAGTATTGCCGGCATGCGCGTTGGCGCTGGCATGCAGTGGAGGTTTAACGTGAACATTCTTTTACTTCTCAATATGTCTCTTTTGGAAGCGGAGCAAATTGCCTCAGACAGAACGCACTGGCTCGACGTTGTCGACAGATGCATGACCCTCATTTGATTTTTCATATGAGCTATATGCGTGCTGTACTATTATTATTATTATTCTGTTACGAATGATCTTTGCAATTCACTGAATGAACTGTCCCCCTTGTCGAAGTCAGTTTCGATAAGAATGCTTGCATGCTTCAAGATCCGCTAGCCCATACCTACAAGACCTGCATGCACAGATCTCGTACACAAGCATGCAGCTACAACAATGCAGCCTATAGTGTCTCAAAGCAAAGAGGAATGGACAGTTCTTTGCTATTTGGCAATCCTCAATGGCAGTAAAAAAGTGACATACTGCAATGCAGAAAGCCTCTCAACGAGCACAGGCTGCGAACAAAGTGAACAGGTTGTGCTCAGTATGTGCTCAGTATGTGCTCAGTAACTGCGATGATATGAATGAACAGGTGCAGAATGTTTGTTCGAGGATTCTGTGCATCTCTAATTCAAGTCAGCCAGGGATCCTAATGAGCTCAGCCACTGCTTACCTGCTTCCCTTACCCTAGGCTGGACGTGGAAGCCATCGCAACGACCCAATTTCACCAGCCTGGTTTCACAGCTCAGTGACATGTGCCAGTGCCCCAACAAGTTCATCAACATTCAGGTTGGTTGGTTAGCTGCATATCGTCTACCCCCCCCCCCTTCTCACTGGCACCATGTATTTGATTGATGTCACAAGTTCCGTGACCCGGGCCTGGTATAGCCAGACAGGCTGATCTGTTAATGGTATGGTCACAGAGAAGTGGACACTCAGTCATCCCCCCCCCCCCCACCGTGACAGAAAAACACACACAGACACGGAATTTGTGCAGGCCGATCAAGAGCGAGCCCGGTGACCAGTGAAGGTGAAGCAGCTATTGCAGACAAAGACGATATTATTATCTGTCCCCTGGAAGGCACATTGGAAAGAGTGATGCGAGTGTACTGATGTCGTTCGATCCTGACTCACTTGGACTCAATCAGGCTGCCACATACTCATGCACATTCAGTCATTATTGGTCCAAAAAAGGCTTATTTCGAACCCTGCTCAATTAGAACAGTGCTGCCTCTTTCAGCCATGGCCACGGCCTTTCGAGTCAATAATGAAAACTAAACTACGCGATCCGAAAGTTTTAGGTCCGGAGCTGCTTTCTGCTGTATCCTTTGTGGACTCAGCGATGCAGCACAAATGAGGCTGAACTATTCAATGAAAACTTAACTTCTTTCTGAAAGCAAAACCACCAGCCCGACCAAGCTCACTTTCCCTGACTACTTAAACGGACACGGTCTGTGTACACGTACCGGTATCTGCATGACTCAAACACGTGGCGCAAATGGCGAAAGCAGGCAGCACGACAGTGCAGAATTGCAGGAACAATCTTTGAGGACTGCAGTGCACAGGTGCATTGGTATTTATGTGCTGGCCCATATGATGACCTTGGCATGCACTGGAGTACACGACAAATCTAACTCTGAAAAGGCTGAATGCCAGAATAACCTAAAGATTGACATAAGTGAACATTTCCGGATGCTGCTTGTGCTGTTGAGTCGAATGGCATTGGTCCGAAGAGGCTGTGACAAACGGTTACCCAATTGAACGCGCTCTAAACATTGGCCAGCTGATACCCAAGATGTGTGCGTGGCTACCTGGTTGCACGCCCTGACGTCACCACGGGATGAGGTAGAATACAAGCTCACATTCAATTGGGAATATCTGATGAACGAAGGACCGCAGCCTCCTCGGGCGAAGACCATTCGACCCACTTCCAAACCTGCATGGCTCCTGAAATTGTCTTTCTTCTCCGGACTTGCCCTTTGACATTATCACTGCTGAAGCTAGTGTTTCGATGCCGGAAGTTTTGTACTCGTATGTATGTAAGCAAGTAGGGTATGTCACTGCTGAAAGGGTGCTCAATGCCGGTAAAGGGTGTGTTTTTGTATTTATAGCAACATCATACACACTATGGCATAGTGCATCGCTCAATGGGTGGCCTGCCTGTGTGCCTTCCCTAATAATCATCCACACTTGACTGTCTCTTGCATCACAGATCACAGTGGACAGCAAGGTAGAGCTGGTGGGGTTATCATCCCACGGCCAAGCTGCCGTGCATGGACGTCTGAATGAACCAAATAACTATACTGACCTGGTAGTGAACGAAACAGCCACGGCCTTGGAAACCGTCGACTCAGGCCATGCAGGATATATGCAACTCAGCACAAGCCAAGCAAGCAGCAGGGACTACTCAGCGAGTCGCACGGAGTTCGCCAAAATCCCAGCTGGCTACATGGAACTTGGCGTAGACCTATCAGGTTACATTGAGCTTGACGGACAGAGCTCTGGTTATACTCGCTTAGGTGGAAGCCAAGCCGCAGATTCCACACAATCCAGCACAGCCCAAGCAGGGTACACGGAACTCAGTGGGACTCAGAAGCCTGGACACTCCTATACAGAACTCAGCAAGGAGCAGACAACTGACACGAATGTGAGAATGACGGAAACTTACAAGCCAGCAACAAGATCGGGTGAAAACCATTATGAAAATCTGGGCAATGACCAATACACGGAACTGTGTGGAACTGAACTCCAGGAAAGCTACACTCAGGTTGGCTTGGACCAAGAAAGGTGCGGTGCATCTACCCATGTCCGTTCTCAATACACCAATGTTAATCTGATGCAGCCAGCTGGCGGTACAAGCAACTACATGCCTCTCTGCGGTGGTACATCAGCCAATCACATTGGCCATGGGGATCATAGTAATGCTGATCCAGCCAGCCGCCTGCACTCCTGTGGAGCAGTAGGAGGCCAGCCCAATGCAGGATCACCGCCGCCAAGTGCAGCCTCGGATTGCACAAGACTTGCCCACTCCACCGTAGGTGACTACACCCGGATGCCGACAACCAGCTCGTCTCCTGCCAACATCTACATGCAGCTTACTGCTGGAAACCTGCAAGAGAACGTAGCGTACGGATGTCTCACTGGCGGTGCGTCGGATCACAAGTAGATATCGCTCTCACGGATCTTACTTCAAGTATTTTCCAAACATTCTAATAGTGCTATGTCCACGTCGATATCCGCCTTGCTACTTTTAAGATATCATATCTTTCCTTAGCCAACATTTCCATGTTCATACTGCATGTACTGGCTTAGCAGCTCTGCGGCGTACTATTGTTAGACTGAGTCGGTCCATGCCATTGACCATGGATACATGTGAGCTCACATGCGCTGTGAATACACAGACGTCACAGGTGTAATATTAACTACAATTGTATTGCAATACAGCTAGTGGTTGATGCAGAGCGGCTCCATTACATCTCTATCAATATGAAGTTCAGCTCGAGAAAGGGCATCCATAGCATGTCGCTCAGCACTGTAATAAGTCAAAGTCCCGGGAGCTCAACTTCCTGTGTTGTAGTGTCAGGTTATTCTCAGATTCATCCCATCTTGCTCAGCACTGCTACTTTCCCTTTTGTAGTAAATCTTCTCTGCCTTGGTTTGTGCACAGGGAAAAAACTGGAACTACTTGAAGTAAATGGAAGTTCACAGTTACATGTAGGACCTCTAACTAACAGTTGTTTCATTGGTTTGAGTCCTGGCTGTGACAATTTTTTTCTTCAGACTTTCCTCCTTTTCTCTTATTATGTGTATGATTTTCCCAATAGTTGGAATGGTTTCAACTCCGGGCCCTCAACGGATGAATACACAGTGTGTAGTTTTTAGGGCAATGTATCTGCAGGCCTCGAGCCAATACTTCTTCCCTGATATGTAATTTCTTTATTTATCACCGTTACACACTACATTCTGTTCAGTATTTATAAACCACAAATGTCTATCAAGATTGCGCGATTGTTTGCAATAACGAAAGTCCATGCCCTGGAATCTGCGACAACGTCTGTTGTTGTATCACATATTTAGCACCAGGGAGTGGTGAAATACCTACTCCCTGGTAAGCACGGACACTCAGTCTGTACTGGCTGGCTTGGTCGTGCTGCTGGCGTCTCTGTTGCGTTATACGACTACCTCCTTGGCACTGGCTGGGAGTCAGTTTAGTTGTAACAATACCACTGAATAATGTACCTTACCACTGGCACTACTAATTACTATACTACCTGCTTACAACTTAAAACACGCTGGGCCGTGGCATCCGACAGTACCATGAATGGTATGAATGTCAGATGCATATGAGCACAATCTGACAGCATGTTACTAATGTTAGCAGCTAGTAATGATCATGTGGCAGGTTCAAGGCCAAGGGCTCGGTTGGCCTAGAAGGCTAGATGGACACATCAAAGAATACATACCGGCAAAGTAAGATTGCAACAACAGTCACACAGCAAACATGATTCAGTGCAATCATGCAGACTTATACAATGTGGACACGAATTTGACGCATATAGCATATGCGCATAGAGAATTTTACATAGCGGTGAAAGGGTGGGGCGTAATCTTGCTTTCACGTGCAGTAAGATTCACATGCTCGGACACAAGAAACACACCTGTCTTCGCTTGCATCTACTACTGACTACTGTTAGTATTCGTTGCACGGCACAACATACACTTCACCAGGTAACTGTTACGTGTTAGTGTACTAACAAGAGTACATAACTACACAGTAGTTATGTACTCTTGGTACTAACCATTGAGGGAGGGGAGGGGGGGGGAGGGAGGCTACACTTTAGTCAGCACTTCTTAAGAGGAGTCACGAGCTCATGCATGTGTGTTTCTCTGCGCTGCGTTGCATTACGCTCCCTCTTTCTAGCTTGGTTGAGCGCTCCGGATTTCTGGTTCGTGTCAAAGGACTAGTAACTTACTCAGTACTTACCTGTCCTAAAGCTCGGTGTGTTTCTCGCAGTTACAAAACTTACAATAGAGCACTCTGATTTTCAGTTTGATCAAGACAAGAGTATTACGGTAGAAGTGCTTTGTTGTTCAATGGACTTCATTGTGATCGGTTCAGCCAGTCACTCCGAGTCAGAGCTCCACTGCACTGAGGTGTGAGGACACTTAACCGTAACGAGGTCGAAACAGCTAGTTGTCCGCAGATTGAATGCATGCATGTATTTATTCTAAATAAAAGGGGGGTTGTCAACTGACAACCGCTCTATTCTATACGGCAGTAGCTGCAAAACAGAGGGCCGGCAGCTAAATTATGTTTTCCAACAACCATACAATCATTTCATAGTCAATTCACTAAACATCATTATTATTATTCTGCAATTATTGGCAGATCTTATCGCATAGGATTTTAAAACATGGTTGTAATCTGGTATTATAAATCAGGGAGCGCTAGAACTCCTGGATGTATAAATCAGGGAGCGCTAGAACTCCTGGATGTAATCTTAATTAAAGTTACGTTTCAACACGTTCGTGCTCACCAGACTTACTTACTACAGTGGACACGCAATACATGACTGTCCGTACTAGTTTCAACACCAGTGTAGCAAAACGGCATCGAGTGGCGTGTCAGTCCTGATCGTAGAGTTCGAACAACGTGCGCAGGACATGATATTGATAATCATCACTCGGAGGCTCCGCCACGTCTACAAGGCCCCCTCTAGGCTCTAGCTCTACAACACACAGACAGTGCACCTAGTACCTGTGGGGAGTCGCTTCCTCATAGACATACTAGTGTTGGTCATAAGTGCGCCGTTCTCAGATCATGCGCGTGCGGCTCATGATGGTCTTCTGCAACCAATCGCTAGGACTTCGTGGCCCGAAGACCACATGCACATGGACGGTGGTGACCAATGCTCACTATTAAACACAACGCCAAACAAACAAGCAAGATGCCCTTGATTAGCCAGGCTCTATCCCGGATATCCCAGGCATGCAGTTTGCTGTTTAGGCTACACTCGCTGTAGCTCGGCACACAGCAACAAAGGCAGCACTGATTACGACCAAATTTGGTCTAAATACCTTCATCGGAATATGGACTAGCACACAAACTTGGGAAATGTCATTTGTCTGACTGTGAACGTTCCTCAAGTTGGCAGCTTGAAAGCAGTTCCCTGAGCATGAATCCATGATGACGGCTTCCATGTTGACGGCTAGTGCGCGGACGCTACATGCATCATTCACTTAACCTGTCAAACTCACCTTGCCAAGTTTGGCGAGGAGCTAAGGAAGACCTCGAAGCGCTGCACCTCGGACGACGTCTTCTTGACGTGCTGTCAGAGACATGCACATGTTCATGATTCTACATGACTCTAGATGGTCGTACATGGATCTGTTAGCTTGACCACCGACTCATACTCTGCTGTCTACCCATGGTCTGCATTTAGCTGCCAGTGCCCATTTGATTTTAGGAGAACGGCAGCTGCTAGCGCTGCGTCCACAGGCACAGGTGCATTTACTGCATTATCATGATTATGACAGCCAAAATAATAGCAAAGGTAATGACTATGTACTAGTTCTCTTCTTTTGCCTGTGCAATTAATTATTTGGCAGGTGCATGCCCAGGAAACACGGGTACCTAGCCTCACTCGAGCTCGAGGCTGAGGACATGAGGTGCGCAATCGCACATGCAGACTACGTGCACAGTATCTAATCTCAGTACTACAGTGCAGTAGCGATGCGATGTAGATTCTACAATGTACATGATGTAGATCTACCGGCGATCGACATCCGCTAGCCTGTCACTCGTGTCTGGCCGGCCAGCTCGTGTCGTGACTCGAGTCATGATCCTACTCGTAGATCTACGAGTCTCAGCATGCTGCTACGCTCTGTCCGACTGAACTCTACAGTACAGATCTGGCTTTGGTCAAGTCACTGCCACTAGTGCACTGGTCGGCTATGCGAGCATGAACCGCACCTCCGGAGTCATCGAGTGTCAGTGACGCGTCAACGGGAATGCTTTGCGTTGAAGCACAAGCATCAATTCCGATTTCATCACTTTTTCTCTAGAATTACATTCGTTGTTGCGAAGAAAGGTTCTTGGAAAGACACTTGATCTAATAACAGAACAAGTGGTATTATTGGGCCTCACGCTTCGTCAGTATTTCAAGCATTCCACTAGCACAGTAGTTTTTTTTATCTAATCCAATAGCTACGCATTGTGGTCGGGGTGCTCGGGGTATCGGAATACGATTTCCGAACAGCTTAGATCGAGGCCGTATTTTGGCTTTTATGGTGGCCAGCTAGGCACTCACTTCGCAACTCCACTGGCTGTGATCTCCTTTCTTGTCACACGCTCCACAGACAAGAGAAGTGAGGATGGTGTGGAGGGGCTCCGCAATCGGCACCGTGGTGCTGCTGGTGCTGCTTGCTGCTACTTCCTCGTCAGGTAAGGACAATACAGTCCATACGCATTATTTGTACTGGGATCTCAGTTCGTGTTGTTCGCCACGCGGTACTTGTACGAGAAGGGTCAAAGCAGGGCCTGGCCGTAATGCATGCGCATGCGACTCCTTTGCCCCTTATTCGAAAGTCACCAGAAAAGCCTGGCAGAGCCAGAGATGGAGAGAGGGAAAGGGGCAACAGCAGATCCTACTGGTACAGGTACATAATAGTGATGGCGCATTGTGTCGTGAATAAGTTCTGTGGGAAATAGCAACCTCAAGGCAGTAACACTACATGCAGTGGAACCCCATGTTTCCAACAGCCTTTCGGACAGGGCAAAGTGGTCGGATTTGTGAATAATGACTATCACAGATTCACACTTACGGGGGAAAATCCGGGGCTGGGCAAAAGAGGTCGGATTGGCGAGGGTAGAGGGGACGGCTCGATACCGGGACGCTTTGACAGCCAAATTTGTATAGACCCAAACCGATCATCAGCGTGGATTTTTTACTCGAAATATGTTTGTGGAAGGAAACTGGCATGTTGAAGTTTGCTCTGGGGCCAGAGTCAATCGAACTGAGCCACTCCTTTGTGTTGACCCATTGCCTCCAAGTTGCCCAATTTTTCGCTCCAAAAAAGTTCAAATCAGAGGTGGCTCCAAACCGGACACGTTTTAGAGTGCACGTCAAATTCACTCTGGGTCTGAAATTAGGTAATTGCTATCGCTCCACGACGGCCAGTACAGAGTAACAATAAGCCTGGTGTGTGCTTCCATTAGTTTTGATTGGTATGCGGTGCTTTATTGGCGAGAGGCGCTGTTTACCTGCGACAGGAAGTTGATTTTTCGAAAGTCGTAAAACTCAAGTCGCAGTGCGAAGCAACACGTCAAAAACGCACCTGCTTGATATGGCGCTTCTGGTCATCGCAGAGCCATGAAATTTTGGCTCGGAGTATAACACATCGTAGTCTCACTGTGACATATGTTTTCTAATCAAAATACCAAGAGAGAAAGTGAATATTGAGTCCGTTCCGGTTTGCAACCTGTGTCCTATTTGAAACCGTCCCCTCTACATGGCGGGTGCAAAGTTTTTAACGACCCTGCCATCACACACTCGTCTTCTGTTTCTCTAGTACAGAAAAGAGAAGGAATAGCACATTACAAGATTAGTAACGTTTCTTGAGTTAACGATGGATTTTCTCGTTAAAGCGCTGTACTTTGTGCCCCGTTAGAGATTAAATTCTTACAGTATCAACAAGCTGTGCAGTATCAACAAGCTGTGCATAGCTGCCTGCTAAATGGGCATGTAGACTGGCGGAGAATAGAATGCTCCGGGCTTGACGATGACGATGATCGCATCATTGCAGTGCTCTCGCTTCTGGCGGCTTTGCATCAACGGTCGGGCTGTACTGCATTACCGGCAGTCAGCTCATTGTGCTGTTAGGCCGTGAGTGTTGTTAAGTTCAGCACGTGGTCAGTACTAATGATTATGTGCCTGGGTATGTCAATGGGTATGTCAATGGGTGTGCTGACCATGCATTGTAGTGTTGAGCTGCCCGTGACTGGGCGTACTGATTGGATGCTCCCTGTACCTGTTACGTAGTGTACCTCAGTGTACCTGTACCTGACCATGGATATGTCAGCCTTTATTACACTGTCATTTCCTGTCCCCTGCTCTCTCACTCCCTGCCTGTCTGTGCGGGGGTCGGAATCTTAGCAGGAAATAAATTTACAACAGTGGCGCAAGTACATGACTTGTGCAATGTCTGGCATTGGTAATGGTAGTCTACAAGTACAATGTCAATGTCTTGCATTGCTAATCTACAAGTACAATGTAGATAGAGACTAAGAAGGATGCTTTCCACTTGCTACGTGAGAACTTTCCTGACGTGTGCTCAGTCGCAACGAGGAAGACTGCTCACTCCCACCGCCGCATCCTAGAGTCACTTGTGTGTGATAGTCAGCGCCGTGAACATTGGCTGTATCGGCAACAATGTACACATAGAATGTATGCTGTGGTAGCCCATGCTATTCTGACCTTATATCACAGTAATGTCATGTGTTGGTAGTCCAGGAGGGTGCTTCCTGCTTTTTACATGAGTAACTCCCTGGCTTTGCTCAGTCAGTGCGAGGAAGACTACTCACTCATTGTGCAGTGTCCTAGCAGACCTTATGTGCAGCCGTCAGTGCCTGGAAATCAGTTGTATCAACAGCAGTTGCACAGTGCCATGCTTTGAGAGATGGACCCACAACTTACACTGTTTGCTGCGGAAGTGCTGATCTTATTATATCACGGGGCAGGTGTTTCCAACTTGGAAAGCTCTCCGGTGGATGTTGATCACGCTAAGTAGTACACATGCTAGTACTCGGCACTGTCCTGGAAGAGGCTGTCTGGTGAGACCGGGTGTCTAATATCAGTGAACTCGTTGCCTTACTCTGAGCCTGGATCAGGTTTAGCAGGGTTGGGATGACTATAATTTTTAGAGAGCTAGATCGTCCTCTTTCCAAGCCCTCCTAATGTCAATCAACACAACAGACATACGACGACCCCGAGGACGACCGCGTCTGAGATGGATCGACGTTGTCAAGAAAGACTTACAATGCATTAATCTGTCGCTTCTGGATGCTGTGCAATCTGCTTCTGATAGAGCTGCTTGGCTCGAAATTGTTAACAGATGCGTTGACCTCATGCAATGAGTGATATGCGAACTGTCATTATTATTATTATTAGATGGGCAGCTGGTAGCAACTGCACATTGTCCTAAATCGACAACAGCGACTGTCAGTGCAAGGGTGTGTGTGTGTGTGTGTGTGTGTGTGTGTGTGTGTGTGTGTGTGTGTGTGTGTGTGTGTGTGTGTGTGTGTGTGTGTGTGTGTGTGTGTCAGTCATGAACAGGAAGGAAGTAGATGTGTGCCTGTGTGCTAGCCCTTTTTAAAAGTTGAGTGGTGAGAGCCTTTCTGCTCTACATGTAGTGCAGAGTTACAATGGATGTGTACCTAGTAACAGTGGTGAGGCCTCCTGCGGCTGAATGCACAGGAAGTGGCTCGGAGCAGACTTGCTCTTTTCCCAGTCACTCTGCAATGGTATCAAACTCATTTGATCTATCCTGACAAGGTTTCGGCAAAATTGCACTCACAGTCAGGTTTGCAACAGGTTTACTATCGCAGAGTGGATGGGAAGGGGCGAGTCTGCTTCAAACTACTTCCTATGGTTGTTCAACCGTTAATTGAAATTAATTCAAAGTGAATGAATACTTGGCATATTCGTTGCGGCAGTTCTCAGGCATAATTGGGTGGCGCATGCAGCAACTTATGCTGTATATGGGCTTTTGCAACAATGTATGGTGAAGTGCTACATATGGGCTTATACAATGATGTATGGTGATGTGCTACATATGGGCTTTTGCAATGATGTATGGTGATGTGCTATATATGGGCTTATACAATGATGTATGGTGAAGTGCTACATATGGGCTTATACAATGATGTATGGTGATGTGCTATATATGGGCTTATACAATGACGTATGGTGATGTGCTACATATGGGCTTATACAATGATGTATGGTGACGTGCTCCCTTTCCCTGACCTTATGCACACAGGCCGTAAATGGTCCATAGGTCATCAGCTTGCGTAGACAGGCTCTTCGAGTATTACCAAGAGTAAAAAAATAAGCTCCCAAGAGTGAAACTCTGCATACGGGGTCTTCGACGGCGAAAACTCGCATAACGTGTGTCTCAGGTACGTTTCGTACTACGTACACGGAAGACCATGATCAATTGATCATGCTGGCGAGTTGCATACGCGCAGCGAGCTTCTGTCAGGGTGAGTTTTTTTATTACTCCGCTGCTCGCTAAAACGAGCTGGAAACGTACAACTCGAACACACACCACGAGATGGGAGTTTCACCGTCGGCGGACCCCATGGAAAGGACAGCAGGAGTTGCACACTCTTGGGAGTTTATATACTCTTGGTATCACCATTATCACATTATTAAATGTGACATTATGCTGATGCCTGGCTTGGTGTGTATGTACCTTGTACTCCTTCTTACTCTATGTTACAGGTCGTGATTGTCGAGGTGCAGATGGAGAGCGGGGTAGTACCTCTGGAGGTTCTACGCTTCGTTTCCAAATAGCTATTCCGAAAGGGTATAATCGCACTTATGTCATCGACAGGATGCGATTACTCTATGAGAATTGCACCAGGATCTTGGGAACGTTGGTTATCAATAAACTTGAAGATGGTGATGATGCATCATTCCTCAGCACAATTGAAGAAGTCTATGGATATGTAGACATCTATGATACTTCAGCCGCCATCATTCCACTTCCTAAACTTCGGATAATTCGAGGACAGCAGCTCTTGAGTGGAGTATATGCACTGTCAATCGTGAACAACCACATCCAGTACTTCAGCGCTCCCCTCCTTCGATCTATTGAGAAGGGTAACGTCCATATTGCTAGTTCGGCAAACATGCGTTGCTCGCAAAAGATTGGATGGGTTGACATGATGGCTGGTAGAGCAACTCCAAACATCGCTAGTTCTATCGAGACCAATCCATGTAAGTACATGCAGTAGTACAGATAGCTGTGTGTATACTTTCCTGCATTCTGAATCGCTACTCGGCTTCTGATGTACAGATATTGTGCATTCTCATGCAAGGGGAAATACCTGGGCAGACTACACTTGTAATTCAAGGTCTCAAAGCTATCACAGATGATGCGTCTTCAGCAGGGTTACTTCTTTACAGTCAGTTACAAACCTCCAGATTGAGGAAAATTATCCTGGAAAACAGGTTACACGACAATTCACAAGGTGACCAAAGACGTGAGTGGCCAGTCGTGCACAATGCAGAACATGGACTACGTGTCGTATTGATATTGTTGGTGGACTACGTGTCGTATTGATATTGTTGTATTGTTTGGTGCAGCAACAGGGAGATTTAGCCACTGGGTGGCGAGTAGTATACCTGAAGTTTGCATCCACTCTGAGAACAAGTTTGATTGGGTCTCTATTGTCCACTTCCTACTTTTTCCAGGTACTTGTGATAGTTCATGCAATGACAAATGTTTCATGAGTGGACCAGAGAATTGCTACAAAGGTAAGACTTGTAAAAAAAGAAAGAAAGAAGAGAAGAAGCTGCGATTCACATGCATTTCTCATAGACGTTCACAGGCTTCTATACTTGAGCTGCAGAGTAATACAGTCATATCCTGTTTGGAAACCACTGGTTTCATGCCCTTGAGATGTTTTCAGACATCTCTAACAATGCTGAGCTCAAGCAGAATTAGACGCATATTGGTGAATGCAGGCGGGAAGTTCACGGGAAAGTTAGCGCTGATATGTGAAATATTGCAAAACATGTGTGAGTTGCATCAGGCTCAGAGATCAAGGAGGGAAAACATGTGTGAGCTGGAGCCTGTAGGTGAAGGAGTTCATGTGGTTCTGAGAAGATGGTTTACAACACATTGCATTATGTGATATTGATGGCAGGCTGGTATCATATGGTGGACAGATCTCACATGACACCACAATACTAAATGTGGGCAGGAACTTGACAGCATTCCTGCACTTCGATGCAATTTCAGTGCTCTTGTCAAGAGAGGAGCTGTGGTCTGATGTGACAATGTGCTGCTTTTCAGCTATGCTGAGCTCACACGTGTCTCCCTCCGTGATCTTGGGGGAGAATTCACACATGTCTGAGCTTAGTATTATCATAATCTTTATCTGAAGATTGCCTAAATAAGCACATAACGCCAGGGGTCACTTTGCAATGATGTCAATTGTCAAATCAATGTTCTCCATGTCGCGCAGATGTGTGCATGCAGATAGGTGTGTTAACTTAACTAACGACACGGAACCAACTTATGTTGCAATGAATTGTGAACGTGGCACCCTATAACTCTTGTTTGGATTACATGCTCTTTGCAGTATGCATGTCAACACTAGAAGCCAGTAACAGGCATGTGTGCCAATTGAGCGTCCTGAAATTCAGGCTCGTATACCGAGCAGGCTTCTACGGTATATGAGACAGGCTCGTCGCAAACCACTGCGGGGTGTATCTCTTGTTGCCGCTTGATTGTTTCACCTTGCAGATACGTACGTGGGCTGCAGTGCATACAGCTGTGGCAAGCGCTGCAACCTAACAAGTCAGATATGCTGTCACTCAGAATGTGCTGGCGGCTGTACAGGATACGGGGACACCAAATGTGTGGTAAGCAAGCTCTCTGCTTTCCGATGCCCCATCTGAATAATTATGGTGTCACTGCTGGCTGGTGTGTGGACAACTTCGCGGAAAATTCCTACAGGACGGATTTAATTTACTAGTAGCAATACCGTAAAGTACCGTTGATCCGCCCCCCCCCCCCCCCCCACGCCATGTTGCTTCCCAGCTGGGTTTTCGGCAGGGGCGGGAATTAGATCAAGGCTGTCAAGTGCAGTACGATGTACAGCAACGTAGAAGTTCAGACTCAATGTGCTGGATTGTGCACATTTTCATCCTGGATTGGCAAATATTGTGTACAGCAGTGCATGCGTCAGTTCAACATCGTATTTTCGTTGTAGACGTCGAAGTTGCTTCACAGGTAGAAAATCGACAGGGGGCGGGAATTAGAGAGGGGGCGGATCAACGGTACTTTACGGTATTTTCATAAGGCAATGTTAGTGTGTCCCTTCCTGTCCTGTTGATGATGCTTTGAAGTTTCTGGTGTATCTTGACAGTCCTGTGCAGGAAAGCGACTGGTACTTGACAATGGAAAAACTAGGTGTGTGTCTTCTTGCCCACCGCTAACTATTGTCGATCGGAGCACACGTCAAGAGGTAGCAAATCCCGACGGACGGTACAATCACGAACTGGACTGTGTAAAGAGTTGTGCCGGTATGTGACCATCCCGTGATCCCATGGCTGCTCTGTAATTATGAATCCTTTGTATTCCACGTGGGTCCTTTTCTCCTTGATAATGGATGCAGGGGAAATGGCAAAGTACTAACTTGCCCGTTCGACCCAAATGCGGGGAATGTGTATAGCGGTGAATCGGGCTTTTTCCACTGTAGTCCAGGCTCAGAGTGCAGAAAAAGTGTAGCAAATTCCCAAATATCTCCCACCTCTGACTGATACCCATTGTTTACACCCCACGTGGGCTTGTGTAGACCAGAACTTATTGAGATTGAAGTGACCTGTTGCGCAAGCAGCTGGCAAGTCATTACTAAGACGTGTGACATTGCCTTGCCCTGTCCTGTTGCTTGCAGATGTAAACCGGCTGACGTACAAACAAGACTGTGTGCGTACATGTCCGCTGAACACAGAAGATGATGACAATGGTGTTTGCCAGCCGTGTGCTCCGTTCTGTAAACGAAGTAAGAGGTGTTTACCGAATACTGTGACCAAAAATACTATTACTAGTATATTGTATAAACCAGAGGCTGACTGTAATGGTACGTATGCACATGTGCCATGTATGGTTTGTTATGCGGATTTTCCTAATAGTTTATCATAAACACTAAATTAATATTCATAAGGCTGGCGGGGTTAAACGCCATGGGGACAACAATTTAATGATGGCTATCATTTTAAGATTTAGTTGTGCCCTCATTCCAACACACACAGGCTCAAACAAAGTCCAATTATATGGTTGAGGGAGTTGATACTTTACTTACTTGCACAAGTACATTGTAAAATAATATGAACTCTTAATTTTATGACTTTGCAACTTCGGTGGTAATATTTGACGAGGGTGCCTGCTCCTAACATTGGAGCTTGCGATTCCTACCAATTAAATTACTGATGTAGAGAAAATACACACCATTTCGTACTTGCCTTCTGCACAACAAACCAAGAAATTCGACTTAATGCTAGCTTACACTGCTGCAGTGAATTTCACACCGATATTAATTCTCGGAGACCTCCTTGATTTAGGCTTCCCTCAAATAATAATGCAGTAAAGCCTGGTGTAATCGACCTCTGGTTTTAGCGACCACCTGCTTTGAATGATCGTTTTTCCATGCACGGACAGTTCTACACAGAGACTGCACCGGATACAGCGACCACCTGCCGTGCGCGACCAGCGACCGACGTTTAGTGTACCAATTGCCATATTGCCTGCACACAGCCACCAAAACTAACCAAAAGTGCCATCTTGGCTCGCAGGGTTGACTGTAACATGGTTGAAGTGCACTCCGAAGCAAGTGCATGCAGTCAACAGAAGTGACAGTGCACGATGCGCTGCATGCACTTGAGTGGGATGTGCTTTGCCCACACAAGAGTATTCTATGGTCCACACCTGTCAATATGAGTACATGGAAGTACATTCATGCACAGTCATGTACATGTACATGTACACTGTATGTACACGGTCTGATGTGCCACGAATGTATGGGACCTGGTTCTAAAGGTCACCTGGTTTTAATGACCGCTTTTGCTTGCACCGTGGGGTGGTCGCTTAAACCAAATTTTACTGTAATAATAATGTCCCCCTTGCACATTATCCCAATAACGTTCTATCCGCATTGATATCGGGCATGCGATACCCGAACATTCGCCCAGGCTGGACTACCATCACTCTGATAATTCATATCAGTAGATGCATTGTGGATTTACATGTACGGTGACCCCCCTGGGATTCCTCTCCACAGTGATCAGGTACAAGTATCAATACCCCCACCTCTGTGATACCGTGTATATGGTAGTATTGAAACGAATAACCGAATAATTTAGAATATTCATGAGATTGAACGAATAACCGAATAATTTAGAATATTCATGAGATTGAACGAATAACCGAATAATTAGACTCGGATTGAGAGCCGAGAATTTAAGAGAAAAAAAAGAAGGACCAAAGGTTTATTATAAGTCATCTGTTGTTTGTGTCCAACATTAAAACAAATATATAAGCAAAGATACCGGTGGGTCAGAACGTGCAACAATTAGCACAAAACTGACTGATGTGATACTGACATTCAATGACCTGTTCTTAGTCCATACTCGACTGTGCTTGTCTCTTGTTGTTGTTCGTCTTTCCTTTGTTTTTGGGAAGTTAGTCTTATCAGCTCTTGGTTGTGATCTTCAATATAAATTATTCTATTGTCACATAGTTGATCATAACACAAGGCGTTACAGCAGGAATTTACCCGAATACCCCGGAATATATAGACATTCACAAATACCCACACTGATTGGTGACCACCCCATCAACAGTATCAAATTAAATTTGGTGTGACTCAATAAATACCACTATAGCCAATAAATACTGTTTATAAAGTACCACTCTACTAAGGTCAATGAATGCTGATTATATAATACTCCGTTTTAGGGGAACGTGCAGGTCAACATACCGTACTTCCCCGGATGTAAGTCGCACCTTTTTTACACTATACAGTCAGACCTCGTTTATCCGGTCCTCGTTTATCCGGATCCCTCACCATCCGGAAGAAAATCGCTGGTTACCGATGTGCAGCATATGTTATGCATACAACATAACCGGACCTCGCGATCCGCATACCGGTGCATGATTTTGTGTACAAACTGGTTAAAATGTGTACAAAATGCTTCGTCGTATCCGGTTGCATGTGGCTAGCTAGCGCTTGCAGAAGCTAGTATCAAGGAGTTGTACAAGCAAATGAGGTCCTTGACCTGCTGGGTGTGTGCGGACAGCACTCAGTTGCATGTACTTGTCATTTTTCTCGCTTGTTTTACATACTGGGCACGCTAGTTGTACTGCATAGGACCTGTCTACATGTATGTATGATGTCACTGCTTTTGACATGCCACATGCATGTACAGTATGTGTGTTCAGTTATCCGGTTACCTCGCCTATCCGGATATTTTTGTGGAAAACAGATGTGTGCGGTTAAGCGAGGTCTGACTGTACTTCAAAAACAAAGAAGGGGGTGCGACTTACAATCAAGTGTGACTTCCTACTCGTGTGAATGTATTGATACAATTTGGTTCAGACCTAAACATGGGTTGCGACTTATAATGGGGTAAATACGGTATGCATAATAACGTTAAGTGTAGTAGCCTCAGGATTTATAGCAATTACAAGTACATACCAGTGATGAAAACCGTATCATGTAAGTGCAATAAATCCTTAGGCTCTGCATCTATTATAATACAGTCGACTCCACTTATAACGAACTCGCATGTAGTGAATTTCATGATATAGCGAACCATTGTCCATGTCCCTGTTTGAACCCATACAAAATTGACCCTTTGTAGCGAACAGTTTTCGTTTACAATGAATCAAATCTTGTAGGGCTGCATGTACACTCAGTGAACCAATGCTGTCATGGGCCACATATCAGTCGATCCGGCTCATGACTTGCTTGTATAGTGTGAGTACATTTCTGTTGTAACGAAATTCGGCTATAAAGAACTAATTATCCTGCACAATGGTGTTCGTTATATCAGGAGTCGACTGTATACCTATCTTTTGTTGTTATGCCCTGTACGGGTGTGACATGATGTTGAATCTGTAAAACAGGGAAATCTTCGCATAGGTTTTGATTAGGGGTGAAACAACTGAGTCGATAAGTCGACTGGCCAATCGACAAGGTTGAGTCGATAGAAGGAAAACACTTATCAACTCGCAAAATGTTTCAAAATTGCATGTATAAATGCCCAGAAGTACATGTAGTTCATGTATTAATTTTGTCCTGTGAGTTCAGGCCATGTACTATGGAGTACACTTGGCACCTGAACCCGGGTCCGTTTGAACGTTGAAACCTACAATGATTGTGAATGTGCTCATATTGTCCTTCTGTTTGCTTGTGCATGGACGTGTGACCATACATGTATGTATGCGTAAATATGCTGTTCTAGGTGTTCATGTGTGAGGATAATATCAGTCAATAACCAGTCGATAGTCAGTCGATAGGATTGAATCTAGTCAATAAGGAATTTAGGTCAGTCGTTTCACCCCTAGTTTTGATACTTCACCATATTTCATTTTACAATGAATGTTATACGAACTACACGTCTGCGAAAGGCTATGGAAAGTTGCAGTGGAAGAAAAGACCGGACTTTGTTTTGTACTACCAACCTGTATGTCCTATCTGCAGGAACTATAGCATGATGTTGGGCTATGCAGATTGCGTTCAGAAATAGAAGGTTTGCTTGTGCCAGGTCACCACCATGCCTGATATACCAATGGTGCAGATGCAGCACTAAGCCGGTGGCGAGGGTGGGATGGTATGGTTACAACAAGTGCCCAACAAGGGGGGGGGGGGGGGGAGCGAAACTTCCTTAGCTGCATCAATGTAAACTCACTCCAAGTAGTGAATACCCAGTTGACCATGGATATCGGCGCAGTTCATCGCATCTGAAGTGGTTCACGGATGCATCACCACATTTGTTAGCACAGTACACGCTCCCTGCGGGCAGCGCAGATCTCGAACTTGAGACCTCATGATTCACAGGCACAACTACTCAGGCAACGTGCTTGTCGCTGGCCTTCTTGGGCTTCTAATTGAACTGTTGCTGCATGTGCGACTGTATATTCAACTGTTGTTGTTGTTGTTGTTGTTGTTGTTGTTGTTGTTGTTGTTGTTGTTGTTGTTGTTGTTGTTGTTGTTGTTGTTGTTGTTGCTGTTGTTGTTGTTGTTGTTGTTGTTGTTGTTGTTGTTGTTGTTGTTGTTGTTGTTGTTGTTGTTGTTGTTGTTGTTGTTGTTGTTGTTGTTGTTGTTGTTGTTGTTGTTGTTTTCTTGGCAGTCTGCTTTGGAACAGATCAGTACGCAAGGAAAGTCCTAGATGCATCATACCTGAAAAACAACCTGACTGGATGCACTATTATTGATGGAGATTTACAAATTGGGTCTGCTTCGTTTATTCCAGACCACAATCATCCTCAAGCAATGTGAGTTCAGCCAGCATGCTGATATTTCTTTTTGCTGCCTAATTACCCTGAATTATTTCTGGGCTCTCATCAGCTCATGGCCTGCTGTTATGTTGCTGCAACTCTGTAACCCATACTCTAGGTTGGATTATTAAAAAATATTCATCATACTTTTGCCCATGTTATTAAACTCTCTAAGATACCTCAAGACACTACGCCAGGGACGATTAGCAACGCGAACGTTCGAAAGTAAATTTGAGTCTGGGAACGAGTACAGAAACAAAGCACGAATGTTCATAAACTTCAATGCAAACTTTGTTGTTTCGCGAATATTACTTTCTCTTTCCGCAGCACATACTCGACACTGGTTTGGGTTCGTGAGGGGGGGGATGGGCGCATGTCAGCACGAATCAAGTGCATCAGTTCCAGTGACGTTTGTACATGGCATGGGGTGACAGAGGAGAAAAGAGACTTTTGCTTGCGGAGCTGAAGCTAACTAAAGTAAAGGATTTGATGGAGTCCTGCCAGCCGCCAGTCAACGAAATAAAAAAATAAAAAAAGTTTTTTATCTCAGGTGGAACCTGACGGAGCATAGAAGTACGTACAGATCTGCTTCAGACTTGGTTTTCACGACAACTTTCGGCTGGTCATGATCCTCCCAGATACTGAAAACCTGCTAGAAGAGAATGCAGACATGAAGCTATTCTTCTTTCTTTCCTTCGTTTCTCTCCCCTTTTTAAAAAGGCTTTTGCATCCTGCCAACTAATTCTCAGCGACAAGAGATGGGCTCAAGTGGCGATTGACTTTCCATACAAATACAACCTACAAAGCGCCGACACACCGCAACAGCTTCGATTTCAACTTTCTTCTCGATCTTCAGCTTCACAAAGTTCAACTACAGGACAGTATTTGCTAGTCCTGCCTGCTGCGGTTTGAAGCTAGAGCCGCATTGCGACCTGCAGGTAACGTTTGGGTACTGTAGAGCAGCTTGCTTTAGAAGCAGGGAACACGATAACGTTCGGACATTTTCCGACCATTTTCGATTCAAATCTGGCGCTTTTTACTTGAACTGACAAACTGTTCGACCGAAATAATTGAATAGCGTCGCTGGGAAAGAGAACGACTGAGGACAGTGGCGCTCTGCCTGGGAAGAGGTCTCAAGAAGTTAGAACAGTAACCTGTGACAAGAGGGTTTTACAGCATGGCAGGGAGCTGTCCATTTCATTGTAGCTCCAGTTTGAGCGGCGCAAACGATCGAGAAGGAGTTTTGAAATGAATTTTTCTCGCTTCCTGGTGAAGCAAGGAACTGTTCCGCGACGTGCTTGTACGATCCGAAAAATTGCAAACGTCCGTGCTCCAGGGGAAACGAGGCGTCAGAAATGTACCAGCTTGTGATATGCCTCTATCGAAAGGAGCAGTCTTCTGCCAATCCAGTCAAGTACGCTCCTGTCGCACAGGTGCTGTGCAAGATCGATGAAGCAACATCAGCGAAAGTTAGTCATAAATTCAACGGCGCGTAGAATCTACCTGCTGTTCAAAGAGCACATCACGTTCGCAAAGATGGGAGCCTTCAGCCAACACGAGTGCTCATAGTGACATGATGTCGATCTTGGAGCTGGCAACAAGAACAGTCAAGCAGATGCCCACTTTGTCTTTTGCCGACTTCATCAAAATTACGTTGTCAGTCGACAACACACTGCGGTGCTACAACTACTTTACAAGTCGCATTACACAGTATGTACTCTTGGTACAGTGTAGCATGCAGATCTACGTGTGCTGCGTGGTCATGTATGAAAGTGGTGAAAAAATAAGAGTCCCAGACATGTACCTGTATCACACAATCTGCCGAATCACAGTGTCCGGCCATGTCCAACCATTTCCAGAAGTGGCAGGACATTGTGTCAGAGTAATTTCGAAATCTTATCGTGTTCCCTGAGCAGGTAATTTTTTTAGCGTTTTCTGAATCTGGACCAATTCGGATGAAATATTTTAGCGATCCGAGTGTCAGATATAAAAATAAGAAAGATGAACTGCACATGCAACATTTCGGTTGGTGCGACAAAACGTTAGCAAAAACACTCCTTTCGCTAAAAATCGCTAAAATATCACCGACGCTAAAATTAGCCGTTTTACAGCAACTGCTGTTTTACTGCACATGCAACATTTCGGTTGGTGCGACAAAACGTTAGCAAAAACACTCCTTTCGCTAAAAATCGCTAAAATATCACCGGCGCTAAAATGTGCCGTTTTACAGCAATTGCTGTTGGAGTTGACGGATTTTTCCGACTCGGACATCTTCCGCGAACTCTCGCAACAGCACTTCAGTGCATCTGTGCTTTCACACGCTCGTGTCACTTATTTTCTCAGTATGTGCACCGGAGGCGGAGAAGCTTCACGGTCTCCTGCTGATATTAGTTCTAGATTGCCGAAAAGAACCTCCTCACGCTACACAGAAGAAAGAAAACCCAGGCTCCGCTTTTACTCTCTGCTGTATTTTCTGTGCTCTCTCTCTCTATCTCTCTCTCTCTCTCTCTCTCTCTCTTCTCTCTCTCTCTCTCTCTCTCTCTCTCTCTCTCTCTCTCTCTCTCTCTCTCTCTCTCTCTCTCTCTCTCTCTCTCTCTCTCTCTCTCTCTCTCTCTTGCGTGCAACTACCGAGAAAACTGTGTGCTTACCCCGGATTCACGTCCAACCAGTCAAGCACGTTGCTATACTGCTTGCATGCGGTGCAGGTAGCGTGTGTACTAGTGTACTCTCAACCGTCAAAGTGCCCTGTTCGACCCCAGATAAGGTCTGATCGCGAAAAGTGCAGTTCGCGTTGCTAAACCTCTGCAGACTATTTTTCTCTGAACAAAATTTCACAAAATCTCACCCCGAACGAAATTGCAAAAATCGCGGTGCTTTAATTAAAATGTCTTTGTTTCTTATCGATTTTCCTTTGCTCTGTGTTGGCAATGGCGTGTGGTACTAGATACGTTCGTGTTCGTTCCTGAGTGTTCCTATTGTAACTGAGTATTGTTCCTTGCGTTTATGATGTCTTCTTTAGACCGTTGAATGCCAACAATCCATCAGAACTCGATGCTTTACTCACCGTCCAGCACATCAAAGGGTGTCTCTATTTGGACAATGCACACATAGCGGATGTGAGCTTTCTGAGGAACGTGCAGAAAATTGGAAAATGCACAACGTCCAACACGGCATTTAGTATAATTGTAAGTATCCATGGATACAGCGAATGGGGAGTTTCGGTCTTTGACCACTTTGGAGGTGGGTTTGATCTGCTAACCCCCTCCCCCAGCTTTAGAAGTTGCATCTGCACCTTGGTCCTTGTTAATAGTAGCATTTTTTACGGATGTGGAAAACTCGGTCTAACCAAGTCTCACGCAAACCGTGAATATTATTGAAGTGCCGTCTAGCCTCTATACTAGCTTACTAAGCTATATCAGGTGAAAGTGTGTCTTAGACCTTCAGCTCCGCTATCTAGTGCTGTTCTTGGTTCTTCAACAATTTGCATCTGTTTTCACAGGTGATTGGGTCACTATCAAAAGTGACATACTTGGGCCTCTCAAGTCTAAGATCTGTTCAAGGTAACGCCTATTTTCAGACATCAAACCTGTGCTACGTCGATACGCTGAATAGATGGGACAACATTACATCCAACCTATTGGATCTGACAACGGCAAACTGCAGTAAGTATTTTAATGACACGGTGCTACATCTGTGTCATCTTGTAATGTAAGACGGTCAGTTAGACACTGCATTTGCTCTACCATCCATGTACTTGTGACTCTCACCTTCTTTCCTTTTACTGAAATAAAATTCAGCTTGTCGCTGACTGACTCCCTGTCTCATGACAACCATCAACGGTAGATTACATAATATCCACAGAACTGACTAAAAACATGCCGCAGAACTGACTCAAGCTCACGTGTCAGGAACACGAGTTTCTCTGAAGTGTAAGTCTTGGAAAAATGATATTGTTTGTGTGGCACCGGTCAGAAAACTATGAGGCACTTTGATGTGTACCATGCACTGTACGTTGAATCAAGAATTGAAACATTAACCCTTATCCGACCGGCCAGTCAAAATCGATGACTATCCGTCGATGACTTTAGCAAGCTGTAACTCACTTATTCTTGATCGAATCTGCACCATTTTGGTCTCAAAAGAAGCAAGAAAGACCCACCATTCATTTACAAAAGACCGGAGCGTCTTCGCATGTTCCAAAAAGAAGTTATAGGTCTCTGAATGAGGTCTGTTTTCACACCGCGTACGAATCAAGTTTCCAAATGGTGTAACTTTGGCAATGATTATCCTGCCCTCCTAAAACTTTGCCTAGAGGCTTCCCTGATGGTATATTCAAAATTCGTTAGCATGAAAGTACAAATTTAAGACTACAAATTGTCCACATGTCAATGAGCCGCACTTCTCTTCAAAAAATGGAATTGGAGATGGATTTTTGTTCCTCTTACAAATGAAGGCCAGAAACTGTTTCTAGAGAACTCTTCATTGCTCAAGCTTTCCAAAAAGCCCAAGATTGCCATTATCACCCAAGGGAAACTAAAGTTACCATTTTAAAATGGCTCACGGCATCTCACTGGGACTGATAATTTGTCCACTTTGACGCTCGGATAAGGGTTAAAGAATGAATTTTGCTTTTCTGACTTGTAAGTACATGTAGTGGCTTCACTTTGTAAAACTGTACGTACAAACGAGTACATTTTGGCAAACTGCCGGCAAAGTGTTCGATGCACAAAGTGCAGAGCGTTTCAAACGAGAAAGAGAAAAAGGTCCAGTTTGGATTCGTCGTGACTCAAAGTTTCATGCTACTGCAGTCATCAGACGACTGCTACTGGAGCCTGAGACTAATGATTATGACTGTATGTGATCATGTGTGATACTTGGCGCTGAATTGAGTAGACACAGCACTACTCTACATGATTCACGAATAAAGTCCAGTATCTCACAGACTTCATGGGTGGTGTGAGGGATAAGTATATCTTTAGCACTGACGTATGCCAAACCAGTCATGATTGTGCAGAGCGCTGTCCTTTAAAAAAATTGTACGTATATACATTTCGAATCTCGCGTTGTTTTTTGTTTCTGCCCTTACATATAAGCATTTGAATCTCACTTCGGGGTTTTTCTACCCTTACCTGTTCTGCAGCTGGTACGGTGTGCAACTCCCTCTGCTCCAGTGACGGCTGTCTGGGTCCGAACCCTACCGACTGCTATGAATGTAAACATGTCTCATTTGGCGGAACATGTTTCCAGAACTGTGCAGATGCTACACTGTGAGTCCACATGCTTCTAGTTCATTAAGTGGGATTGCTGGGCTTTGCAAAATTGCATTCTATTACCTTGGTTCAGCAGAGAGGTGGTGGCGTCCCTGCAGATGCGGGGAAGTCAAAATGATTTCTTACGCTAGTCATGGCGTATATTTTAACTTGAGCGCAACTGTATACTAGTAATCCACTCTCATTTTCAATCTGCCAGCAACACTATCATATCCAACATGCAGCTGAGAGTTTATAGTTATGCTCCAGTTAATACTGGCCTCCTTTTCATAGGTCTGTGCTCATGTGGCCTGGCGTTGCGTCTGTCATCTTTCTTTCTTTTTGTCTCTCAGTGCTTTGAACGAAACCCGACCAGTCTATCTGGATGCCAAGACCAGTGAATGTCGTATTTGTAATTCACTTTGTTTCCCTAATGGTTGCACAGGACCGGTAAGCCCAATGGGTCACCGTCTCTTTAGTATTCACAGGTCCGATAGTATGTCTGTTGGTACTGCGAAGTGGACGGGGAGGGGGAGGGGGAGGGGGAGGGGGGGGGGGGGGGATCGTGGATGCCTTCTAAGCCAGCCCAATTTGTGGTGCTACGTTTAGTGTTATGGGTTTGACACAGGTCTGGCACAGGTCTTTGGTCTAGTGTTTGTGTTTCCAGCAGTCGTGTGTCGTTGGTATAGTGTACAGTGTGACAGAAGAGCATGTGGTATACAGTCTGAGTCACTGTGATCTCGCCTTTCCTTCATCTTTGTGCAGACCAATCAAGAATGCCTTTCATGCCCAAAGCTAAAGTTAGGTGGAAGCTGTGTGGACACGTGCCCCGAAGGAACCTACTTGAATACGGCAACATCCGAATGTCGGCTCTGTAGCATTGTCTGTCAAGCTACTGGCAGCACTAGTCCACAGTGTACTGGGCCTGGCACACATCTTGGTGCTGGCGGATGTACTCAATGTTCAACGGGTGTGTACGATAGTACAGGAAAGTTGGTAAGTTCCAATCCAGTGATTTCATATTTGGCACCACGCTGATTCACTTCATCCACACTTGAACGTCTGGGGGGCATTGGCTTCTTGTTATAATGAAAATGGACAGGACAAGCACAAATTCGTAGCATGCACCAGTGGCAGTGAGCGCATGTACACTGTTGACATGACAATAATAATATCCGTTCCTGGCCTGTATGATATGATTAACACTGTGTGTCTTGTATGCATGTTGTTGTCTGCAGAAAAACTGTGTTTCCCAATGTCCAGCAGCTACAACTTACAGTACTGGTGTTATAACAACTGATGGTGTTCAGGTGGGTAGTCACCGCCTAGTCCAGCACTGTATCAATAGGGAGGTTTAGTCCCACGTAATCCGTGGGTACTTTACGTGTGTGTACTACGTGATACTCAGTGACCCACGTACAGACGTTTTCTGATTCACGACATACCGTGTATGGAGGCTCACCCACGTTCCGCCAGAACGTGGGTGAAAATCAGAATGGAGCGCATTTTGCGAGCTGCGAGGGTGCTCAGCTGAAGAAGTTTCCGAAGCACGAAATCAAAATATTCGATGAGCTTCTTAGGCCCGGGTAGCTTCGTCTTTGACCAGGTTTGGGCCTTTCGCTTCATGCTTTTGTTTGTTCCGTGTGACTAAACACAACATTGCAACGTGGATGCCCTTCATCCACTTTACGTGGATCACCCACGTACGCGTTTCCGTTACGTGGGAACTAAACCTCCCTAATATACCAATGATAACCTGGACACAATGCAAGGCAATCACACATGTAGTACATCACATAGTGGCTGTCTGCTAACGACAACATGAACATCCGTGCTTGCGAAAACCCTACCATCGTTCTCCTGTGGAATTGTTTGTATGTGTTTGTGCATGTGTGTGTGAGTGTGTGTGTGTGTGTGTGTGTGTGTGTGTGTGTGTGTGTGTGTGTGTGTGTGTGCGTGCGTGTGCGTGTGTGTGCGTGTGTGTGTGTGTGCATGTGTGCGCACGCACGTGTGTGTGTGTGTACAATGAATTGCCTGGTAGCCTAACTGTGAATAGACCTGCACTGACCTGCCCATTTCTGTGACCAGACCCTGCAGGGCTAATTGTTGGTTGGTTTCCAAAAACCATGTGACACTCTCCTGTCCTTGAGACACTCATGTTCCTTGCTAGGCTCTGCCGGAATCAGTATTATTGATTGCTTCTTCACATCTTCCAACTTCGTGTGGCCTGCAGGAGTGTCGCTATTGCAATACTCAGTGTGCCGGGGGATGTCACGGCCCAGCGGCTACCGAGTGCACTTTGTGTAAAAACAACTTCAGGACGGTGTCAGGATCCAAACTGAGACAATGCGTCCAGAGCTGTGATGCCGCTCAAGATTACATTTCTCAACATGAATGTCTTAGCTGCAATATGCAGTGTTCCGGTGGATGCAATGGCTCCTCCGCAATGGACTGCACGGCTTGTAAAACAGTTTTCCAAATTCAGGATGGTGGCAAACGACTGTGCTTGGCCAGTTGCCCACAGAAGAGTTTCTCCAAAACTGTTGGTCTGCTACGCCAATGTGTTGATGAATGTGACACCGGTATGTATAACAACACGGATGGCGTATGCCTACCCTGTCACGAGCAGTGCGCCAGTTCCTGCATAGCCAGTGGCAACAGTGTACTTAGTTGCGCAGGGCTGTGCAAATTCTTTGCCGAGGAGGGGAACTGTGTGCAAGAGTGTGGTGCATCGTATCGAGCCAATGAAGAAACAGGGGAGTGCGTGGGAGCATCCAACGAGGAGCCAGACAATGTGCAGGAGCAGAAATCAGCATCGACGTAAGTCTGCAAGACAGCAGTAGATTGTGCAGCCTGTCTTCTATCCAGTATACACGCTGCTGCCTTTCTCTCTGCTTCTGTGAATCAAATGATCTTCAATCGGATGGCAGACCATAAATTCAGCACATAGGAGATTCTCTTTTAAAAACTCAATTCTTTTTGTGACTACAAGTTTACCCATTGTTTAAACAAGGCAAACAGACCGTGGTTTAAGTGTTTGTGTTTAGGGGCCCTCCAATAGTGTAACCATTGTTTCAACAAGGCAAACAGACCGTGGTTTAAGTGTTTGTGTTTAGGGGCCCTCTAATAGTGTAACCATTGTTTAAAAATTGTCTGTTGCGAGGATTTTCATTGTCAGCCATTGCCATGACTCGGTGGATAGCTGGCTGATGTACGTACACTGTACTCCTAAGTGGTATCAGCCCAAGAGTCGGCAAGACCCCACGCGCACATGCAAACACTTACATGCATTAGTATGCACACGCTCGCGTATCCGCACAAATGCGTACACTCACAGCTATCGACACATCGGGCATGCGGCGCGCAAGAGGCCATGGAATACCGTCAGGACAGTAACCCAGGTCTTCGCACGGTCCGGTTCACTACCATAAAAGTCAGTACTTGAGTAAATAAGTACATGCCCAAAACCATAAACCTTCTTCGTCTTCTAGACTCTGCTGCAGTCAAGTTTACCCCGATATTAAAACATGCTGCCCGAAAACTGTACCGATGTGGTTTGCATGTGCAGAGCGTAGCTTGCATGTGTATAATGTGCACATGCACTGGAGAAAATGGCTTCTCCACTTCCTGTTCCAATTGGCAGCCAAGCGGTGCCACCAGAGAATGTTGGGACTCCCTTGGCGATCAAAATCAGCCCGGGCAGGGACAAAGCTGTTGTGCTGAGCTCAATAAGAGCGGACGAATGTGTGGCCTAGATGGACGACCTTGGCAGTGGAGGACAGCGTAACAATGAGGGAAAGCGGCCCTGCTTTGTCCATTTGATGCGCTGAAACCAAGTCTCTAGTGCTCAGGGGCGTCGGAACCGGTGCGGCAGGTGCGGCCAAAGCCGCACCAATAATTTTCGATTTTTTTTACATTTCAACCTTGTTGGTGGCTTGTCGACTCTTGTACAGGTACCATGTTTTACATCGACAATGCGGTGTATCATCAGCATGCATATTCTTTTCTTATTATTCTGTAGCGTTAAAATATGGCTTTTTAGGCCCGATTTTCAAATGTTTTCCCGGGGAGGACCCCGCACCCCCCTCTCATACTTTCGCCGCACCAATGTTAAACTCCTTCCGACGCCCCTGGTGCTGTGTGGAGGGCAGCCAACTTGTCCTCGGGGAGACGTATCACCTGCTCCGCCCTGTTGACCTTGATTCCCAGCACTGTAATCAATGTGCTCGCTTGGACAACATCATCCTGGCAGGGAACGGCGGGAACACCCGGGTTTTCGAAACTACCAACAGAAGCGCCTGTTGAATGGCCACGGTGGATGTGTTTGATACTTAAGCCTGCGGGTGCCGAGAGAAAGCTGTGTCTAAACAAACCAAACAGCTACTGCAGTAACCCTCGGGTCAACCTACCGGGGACTAACAAACCATGAGGCCCTTCCTGCCAGTCACTCCTCTGTAATGTACAATTTAGAAAAGCTAGTTAGCTCATGCATGCACCTGTAAAATCCACTTCCCTCTGAGATCTGAAGTGGAATATGCTGGAGCATGTAACTTGCTAAGTAACTGAGTCATGCATGTATGTGTGTATTCATGTTACGTTGTGCATCTGTCATGTATCTCCGTGTATCTCTGCAGTTCTGGTATCATAGCTGGCTCAGTGGTGGGTGGTGTCGTTGTCATAGTGCTTGTCTTGATGGTCGTCTTCTACCTCATGAAGAGGGCCAATCTGCATGCGGACAAGAAAGTGGCCATCGAGCTGGAGGTAAGCTTTGTGGCAGTTAGCTCTCGTGTGTGCCCGTGCTACCAGCAGCTGTGCACATTGGTTGACCGTAGGTGTGTGTGTGTGTGTGTGTGTGTGTGTGTGTGTGTGTGTGTGTGTGTGTGCGTGCGTGCGTGTGTGTGTGTGTGTGTGTGTGTGTGTGTGTGTGTGTGTGTGTGTGTGTGTGTGTGTGTGTGTGTGTAAGTGTTTGTGTGTCAATGGAGTTTGGTCTACGAGCACTCAGATGGCCCAGGCAGTTTAGCAAACTGCTAGTCCTCTGCCATGAACAAAAGTAAAGGATTTCAATCATTTCATGACTTACTCTGCATGACCGTGAATGGTGTGGCGTGTGGCACGGGTTCCGAAATAAAATATGTCTACACTTGCATGCGTCGCAGGACAGTGTGTTGGCTCCTCTGTATACATGTGTAGTGTACAACTGTGTTTCTGTTCAATGTGTGTCTCTTGTAGATTGCCGGTGCCGACAATCCCAACTATGGCGTGCCAAACCAAATGATGATGGTGAGGAAGACATCCTAGCTGCCTGGCAGTTAAATGCTGAATGAGAAGTGTGTGCATGTATGCATGTGGCATGTTCTGTGGCGTTTTGATTCCTTCACGGAAGCAGGGACGTGGTGCTGGTGTACCAATATCATGCAAGTGTTTGCAGAAACTCTGACGATATGTCCAGACAGAAAATGTCTGCGTAATACCAATGGGTGTTTGAATGCTTTTGTTGTTGTTGTTGGTGGTGGTGGTGGTGGTGTTTTTGTTGTTGTTGTTGCTGTTGTTGTTGTTGTTGTTGTTGTTGTTGTTGTTGTTGTTGCTGTTGTTGTTGCTGTTGTTGTTGTCGCTGTTTGTTGTATACAGGACAGTGACATGCTGCACGCCAAACCAGCACAAGCTGACCCGAACATGGCACGGCTTGTGCTGGCCCAGGAGAACGAGATCATTATGGGCAAGGAACTTGGAGAGGGTGCGTTCGGAACCGTGTATGAGGTAAGCAGTGCAAGTGGAAATGAATGATTGTGTGTGTGTGTGGGGGGGATGTGTGTGTGTGGGGGGGGGGGGCATGTACCAGCATGCATGTACACCTCACCACGCATGCTGCTAACATTGCGTGTCCACTGTTCCATGTTTGCTTGTGTCACAGGGTCTCTGGGCTCCGTCAGACGGCGGTACAAAGGCAAAGGTTGCTGTGAAAGTACTGAAGGAGAACACAGGGGCTGCCAGCAACAAAGAGATCCTGGATGTGAGTGCAAGCAAGAGGATAGCAAGTCTCTCCAGAGTTTTGACTGTTTGCTATAGGGCTGCAGATGGGCTGGAGGAATTCTTTGACAGCCAGTGGTCGATGTATTCTGTGGGACTTGCCTGTCGGCACTCACACTTGCTCACCCATCTATGGTTCTTCTTCTTCATTTTGGCACAGGAAGCGGTGGTGATGGCGTCGATGAACCACCCGTATCTGGTGCGTTTGCTCTGTATCTGCATGGCACCTCGTGTCATGTTGATCACCGAGTTGATGGAACACGGATCGCTGCTCTCCTACCTACGCAAGCGCAAGAGGACGCTAACAGGCGACGTGCTTCTTCTTTTCGGACGACAGATAGCTGAGGTGAGGGCAATACTTGATTCCATGGCGGTTTGGTACCGACCACCTATATGATTGTACCTCACTGCTGCTTCCAAATTTCAAACCATTCAGTTCAGTGCGTTCAAGCATACCTGAATTTGTTTGGACACTCGGAGACCATGCAAACTGTGTTCACGCTGCACAATGTGCTTGTTTCTACTGCATGTATTACGTTGCAAGTTAAGAAGAGCACGGGTCAAAAGCATGATAGCCAGTATTAGCCAGACGATTGCCGACTGCGGCAAGCGTATGAGGTTCACTGATCTGAATGTTTCGTGGCCATTGGTTTTGTGATGTGCGGTTTGTTTAGGGCATGGAATACTTGGAGTCCAAGCGCATGATCCACAGAGATTTGGCTGCACGCAATGTCCTGGGTAAGAGAAATGCTGTCGCTTGTGCTACTGTACATAACTCACTGTTGAGCTGAGAAGTGTGTTACTGTCTCTTTCCCTGTCTACATCTAGATTTGTTCTTGGCTAGTTGTTGGCATTGGCATTGAAAGGGACTCTAATAGAAAGGTTGAGAGAGTAAATGGCTAGAAGGAAAGTATCCACTCGGTTATAGGGAATCAACAATTCTAAGAAGTAAAATGAATGCAACACCACTCATTATCAATGTGCACTTACGTCCAGCGTTGCAACGCACCCGTTGTCCAGCTCCATAGCTTGCCTCGCCGACTAGAGAGTTTAGGATTGCTGCTGAGAAGAAACCTCACTCATTGCATCCTGCAGTGACATGGCCAGAACATCGGTTATGTGCTACGTGTCAGTACTAAGCAGCATGTTGGACGTGGTACCGCTGGGTGAGCTATGTGAACTATTTCTGCACTGGGGATCAGCATTATTTCATTGCGTAAAACAGTGATACTGACTGTTTAAAATTATTTTATCTTATCTCCGCATGCAGTGGCTGAGCATCGGTGTGTGAAGATTACGGATTTCGGACTGGCCCGCTTGCTGGATGTTGGCTCTGAAGAGTTCCAGCATGATGGTGGAAAGGTGAGCAGTGTAAACGCAGGCACCACTACCGCTGCAGTACAATCATGTAGTACTACATTGGTGGCAGTGAAATTGGACGTGAACACGGCAGAGTTACATTCACTGCGCAACACACTGTGTGCAGTGCAATCCCAGAGATGGTGCTTTATATTCATGGATTCAATGGATTGTCAGATTTCCTTTGCCACCAATGTGTTTGTGTTGAAAGAAATGTTGCAATGGCTGTAAGCCACTGTCTGGCAGTAGTAAGTTAGCTTGTCGCATGTACTTGTGTGCTGGGTGCGTGTGCACGCTTGCCATGTTCCCAGACCACTAGGAGAGTATTTCATTTTGCATGAACTGGGTTGTTGCCGTGCAGATGCCTGTGAAGTGGCTGGCTCCGGAGTGCATGCAAGCGAGAGTATTCACCAACCAGACCGATGTCTGGTCGTACGGTAAGAGCAACACTGATGATCCAGCATAGTATTTCTCCGCCCTATTGTTTTCTTCGAATAACTACAACACCCTGGGTGCCTGGACTTTTAAAATGCACTAAATGTGAATGTAGCTACATCATCAAGCTGTTTTGTCTCTTGCGGGGTGACTCCACTCTGCTTGTGGCACGTGTAAGCTTGAAGTAGCTGCTGTGCTACGTTACACCAAGACAAGGCTGTCACGTTTCATCCTGATCCATTGTACTGTCTCTCTAGTCGCATGCCAGCAAAGACATGTGCCACACGCTGTGACTGACTCATATTGCCAGTATGGTGTTGCATGTGCCGGGTCTCTACTCTCTTGCTTCACTGCACCAGGCGTAACCATGTGGGAGGTGCTGACATTTGGCAATGCTCCCTTCAAGGGATTCAAGGCCACCGAGATCTTCTCAATGCTCCTCAATGGTGAACGTCTGCCCAAGCCGAAGACGAGCAGCGCAGAACTGTATGACACTCTTCTGCAGTGTAAGTATACGCACGATGACTACAACCATAACAAGAGATTAGATCCCGCATGTACATGTACAATAAGCTACACTGCATCAGGTACACATGGTGTAGCATCTTTAAAAGGAGATATCTGGTGTCAAAGTGAGCCATACCAGTACAGTCTATTCTCCGGGTTTGAGGGGAGCTGAAGTGGGAAACGTGGGAAAAAGTTGACTGCCGCCACCAGGACTCAAACCAGGGACCCTTGCTTGTATTTGTACTTGTATTTATTCAACATTTCCTGGCTCGTCAAACGACTGCCAATGACGAATGAATGTGAAATGAAGGGTGATAGGCAACCACGGCAACTATCCGAAACAGTACAAAATCCTGATGATGTCCATGATATGTGTTACGCACGCATCTAGAAGGCAGCAATCTTTAGAAGAGCAGTCAATATAAGTTATAGAGTATAACAAAGGCTACCGATATCACGCATTCACTGTTTAGAGGATAATACTGACTGCTCTTTTTGTTGAAAGGAAAAGGACAAATGGATACCAGTTGAGAGTAACTCTCCATCACTGTAACTGGATACTATATACAGTCAGAAAGTGCAATAACTAGGCACAACACTGAGAAGAGTACTGAGACATTCGACGTCCTGACACCTTTTTGTTGTCAGTATTTTCTGGTGAGCATCGGGCAAAACACTTTCAATCAGTTTGTTGTATTTTGTATCTCATCTATCAAACATGTGTTTGATCGCATGCGACACATGGTATAGGTAACCTTCATTGTAATCTGTATTCTGACTTTTACAAGTATCAACAGCTCCATGCAGCAGGTTTTAATAAGGTACAGACTCTGCACAAATCCTGTTACAAACATGGCGTCGGAATTTACGCAGAGGTTCCGATCTGTGCTGTGCGCGTTCCACAGGTTGGGGCTGGGAGCCAGGAATGCGTCCCACATTCAATGACCTTGGCAAGCGCTTTGCCGCTATGGAGAAGAATCCACCCTCGTTTGCCATCACGAGGGTAAGCCTAAGCACAGGAACTGTGCATCATTGTACATGGTTTTGTCAGCTTCTCTGTAAATGTTGTCGTGAGAAAATCCAATTTACGTAGGTTCCGCCTGCTTGTGAGTGTCTGACACATTGTACTATGTTCCATGCCGGTGCGTTGCAGTCCCTCTTGATGTAGTCGGTGCATTTATTTCCCTGCGTTACACTCTTGTAGGCCGACAGAGAGGGACGTAAGTTCATCTCAGAGGCAGACTTCAACAGCACTGCACCGGAGTTGGTTGCTATCGACGACGATGGCTATGAACGACTTGGTCCCGTGAGAAACGCGGAGAAGAGGTCTTCAGTGATCTCTGCATCATCGAACGCAGACTATGATAATTTTGTGGCTCCACAAGGCAACTCGTTTCCATCTCGTGACACACTGCCTGGTGCTGCCAATTTGGCAGGAGCTACAGCTGCGGGATATGATAACATGGTGAGAATGCACTGCAATACACGCTATGGTGCCGTGATGCAAGGCTGTGCGTGCGTGTGCGCGTGTGTGTGCGTGTGTGCGTGTGTGTGCGTGTGTGTGCGTGTGTGCGAGGGAGGGGTATGTGTATTCTATCACCCACTGTCCAGGCCTTGGCATGTGTTGTTCCGTATTCCTGGCGTTGGAACTTATCGCGTTCCCTTTCTTACCGGTATATTGGTACACTGGTCCATATGCTTTGAAATGAAAAGGAATGAGGTGCATGATTGTATTCATCATCATCATCATCATTATCTGCGTTGCCGAAAAAATAATAAAAGTAAAATTTTAAAAATAATAATAATAAACGGCATTATGCAGCTGTGTAAGCAGTAGATGCACAGTGCGACTGCCAGGCATCTCTGTCAGATGCCAACTGGCAATTCTCATGCAGAGACATACCAGTCCACGAAACGATATTGTCAGCAAAGGAAATCGATTGTATTAGCACCAGCAAAAGTGGCAATAAACGCATACTCATTATACACATTGTGGAGTGCCGTCTTGTTTCGTACATGTAGCAGCAAAATAAGTGCTGTATATGTGTGTGGGTGTACATGTGCGTACATGTGTGTGTGTCTGTCTGTCTGTCTGTCTGTCTGTCTGTCTGTCTGTCTGTCTGTCTGTCTGTCTGTGTGTGTGTGTGTCTGTGTTTTTTTAGCCTACCGTCACAACAGTGGAAGAAGTAGGCAATGAAACGAGCCCGTACGACAACCCAGTAAGAGTTATCATGAGCGAAGCGGAGGACACGGAGAATCCTTACGACAACACTGGTGCCGGCCAGGATGCTCTGGGAACAAACGGCTACGATAACATTCCGGCAAGCAGCGCCATGTTTGGCAGCGTGCGTAACGACGCTCAAGATGAGGATGTCAACTCGCACACTGGCCTGCTTGACATTGGCGGTGCAAGCGGCGATGATCTCTCACAGCAGGGCGGCGCGTCCGACCCATACCTCCTGCCAAACGACCTCACCGGCGATGCCTCCGCCGACAAGCTCTCCGGTCTGCCGTCCGACCCCTACCTAGTGCCCGGTGATGAGCTGGTCATCAACCAGACAGCAATACTGGCATCGGACGAGGCCAACATGGTCATGTTCACAAACCCGTCTGGCAACGGCTACGAGAACATCAACGTAAGTGTTCACACTTTGCCATGCACCGTCATGTACATGTACATGCGGCTAATGGGGTCTTTCTCGGCACTTGTCCCGAGTGGTTGTGAGACTTATCCACTCACCCCCACCGTTAGGCGCTGCATCTGCCGCTAGGGTTTACCGGGTGTTAGCGGCCGTCGTGAGTTCCCTTCGGGAATGGACACGATAATTTACTTTTCTTTTTTTTACATGTACATGTACTGTCAGCAGCAGACCCTTCTAAGAACACCAAGCATTCTACCAGCTGCCTAAAGTGCTTTTCGCAGCTGAGAGCCATGCAGCAGCTGACATGATGAACTAACTTGGGAACGCCATCCTTTCTTGGCACTATCAACATCTTCAAAACTTTCCCACTAGTACTTTCATTGCTTTCTCGTCTGGTGGACTACGGACAAAGGGAAACTGACTAAGCACAACAAATGTTAACAGTAGTATCGTGAGAGCAACAGTGCAAACAAAAGTAGCCAGAAACAACACGGTAAAATGTACAACCTCATGTCATCTCTTGCTTGTCAATTTGCACGTGTGTGGCAATGTCCGCGCATTTCCACGGTAGATATATTGTGTGGCTCTGGCAGTGATGGCTACTGTCGTCTACTTGAAGTACTTGCATGGGTTACCACTGTGTTATTACACCATGCGCGCGAAAACAATAGAGCCGTCACGCTCACCGGCCGCACACATCACCCAGGGCGAGTGGCCAAAACAGTGCGATCTGCTTTTGCTACGTATACGCGCCCGAGGAATTTGCTGTGTCAGCCGTAATATGTCTATGGGTCTATGCTCACGAAATTCAGAAACGAAACCCTTTGTCAGTACTGAGTAGCAGTGGCTGGCACCTTTGATCAATTTTCCTAAAATGAAGGAACTCGCGTCTACAGTAGAATTGGAGAGTCCCTCCCGATTTCCTTCGCATGCTTCCTTTACACTCTGTATGTGCGGCCACTCTGAGACTTGATAGGTAGGCACCTCGCACATAATAGCACGTGCCTCTTACGTCATGAATCTAGCACGTAATCCCCACGTTAGTGAACACAGCAACACTGTTGTTTTGTCCCGTTGTTTCGGTCTGGTTCTCCCCCGATCTCTCTTACCTGTATTGTTTGATCACACTCAACATTACCCTGGGATGATATGGGACTGGTTGCCTTTCTCTCTCTCTCTCTCTCTCTGTCTGTCTCTCTCTCTCTCTCTCTCTCTCTCTCTCTCTCTCTCTCTCTCTCTCTCTCTCTCTCCCTCCCCTCTCTCTCTCTCTCTCTCTCTCTCTCTCTCTCTCTCTCTCTCTCTCTCTCTCTCTCTCTCTCTCTCTCTCTCTTCTTTCTTCTTTCTCTCTAGGGTGATGGCTTGAATGTGGAGTAGACAACATGAGCTGCACCAATGATGCTCAACCTCAGGGCAAACCCACGAGTAATAACGTTTGACCGTGTATTTTTACTTGAGAGATTTCTACATGTCGTTCCAGTAGTCCTTATTCTTCTTTCCTGTTGTGGTGAAGACCTTTCTCATCTTTCTTCCTGTGCTCTTTTTTTCTTTTGTCCATGGTTGTTTTGACACCTTTGCTACTACTAACTGAAGACTATTTATTGCATTTTCTATAGCTCCTTAGATTATTTTTTTGCCTCTATTCAATTCATTTCGTATTCCCCCCCCCCCCCCCCATATCAATGGACTGCCATACAAGCAAGTTCTCTTATTCAGCGTGACAATCTAGTGCAGATGCCTATAGTGTCATCTGTTTGATTTCTCTCTCTATTTCGTATTTCGTATCCATCTTCTTATTCTACGTAAACACATAGGAATAGTGTATTCACTGTACGTTTCTACTTTTTTGAAGTAGTCTTTTTTCAGAGTTTAGTACAATGTACTTATCATTTAGCTTGCTTTAGCCACTTAGTCAGTTAGGAGAAGATAGCCCCAACTTTGTGCCGTTTGCTGCATTGGTGCGCTTGCTTCGTCTGCGAGCAGCAATAGATGCCGATTATCTCGCTGCCACTATGACAGAATTGTGGTACAGACTTGCCGGGGTGTGGAATCTTCAGTGGATCATACTGAGTGCGTTCGATTATGCCCAAGAATCGATTCATGAATCGATTCGCGCTATTCACATTACCAGATGTGAATAGGGTGAATGGATTCCGTACCGATTCCAGGGCTCATGACAGGTTGAACGACTTGAATGCATGCGAATGGATTCATGAATCGACTCAAGTGCGTAATCGAACGCAGCCACTGTGCGCTCAAATTCATCGAGTTGCTTCATGCACACTATTCTGTCCACACAGGCTGTAACAGTGTAAGTGAAGGCTGCACCATGTGCTCTGCACTGTTTTCTATTTTAACCATGAACTGTGATTTGTGATTATTTTGTTCCTTACAAATTCCGGGAATGCCGAAAAACGAACGTGTATCTTTAATCAGACGGTATGCTGAACACGAGAATCATGCCTTCCTTCGGGCACCGTCACACAACAACAAGAGATGGATAGCAAATTGAAGAATGGAATGCTACTAGAACACCTGCTGCAGTTCTTATGTGTTAGGGGCCATCCAAGGTTACCAATAATATTTTCAAAACGAAATATTTTCGTTTTGGGGTGGACGTGGGTGGGTTTGAAGGAGTTTCATTTTGAAAATAATTATTATTATTGAACGCAGATGGAGAATGCCCAGTAAGGTCCATCTGAAATGCCGCTTGGCCCTATGGGACCAGGGAGACATCAATGAGCTAATGCTTGAGGCACGGATCATCCAGCGTCAACTCAGAGATGCCACAGGGAAACCTCGTTCACGCTCTTCTACGGATGACAGTGCAAGGCAGTTCACCTCCCTGGTCCACAATGGAAAGCTGAATGCCGCTGGCCACATGCTCTCACCCAAAAATTCCGGTGGAGTTCACAGCCTCAACAGTAAGGTTGGTGACGAGACGGTGCGAGATCTGCTGAAGGCTAAGCAGCCACCAGCGGAGCCTCTCCACCCATCAGCAGCTATGTCGGGTCCTCTTCCACCCCAGCCACACCCAGTTCGGTTTTCCAGCATCACTGTGGATGCAGTCAGGAGAGCAGCACTCAATACCCATGGAGCTGCAGGTCCTTCGGAAATGGACGCTACGGCCTGAAGGAGGGTGTGCACAAGTTTTGGCAAAGCTTCCGATTCACTTTGCTCAGCCATGGCCTCCACCGCATCGCATCGTCATATGTTGACCCTCGATCACTAGAAGCTTATGTTGCCTGTCGTCTCATCCCACTCAACAAGCAGCCAGGTGTTAGACCTATTGGGATTGGAGAAGTGGTCAGGCGAATCGTAGGCAGGGCTATACTGGGCTGTTTGGGTCCTGCCATTGCAGATGCCACTGGATGTCTTCAGCTGTGCGGCGGCCAAGAAGCTGTCATAGAATTCATGCCATGCGGCAGGCATTTACGCAAGATGATGTTGAGGGTGTCCTCTTCGCGGATGCGTCAAATGCACTCAACAGGCTGAACCGCGAAGTTTGCCTGAGGAACGTCCGCCACCTATGCCCGGAATTGGCTCCTACGCTGATCAACACGTACAGAGAGTCTGCCCGTCTCTATGTTCATGGAGAGGTACTCTTCTCTAACGAAGGGACTACGCAGGGGGATCCGTTGGCCATGCCAATGTATGCACTGGGCACGGTTCCCCTGATTCGTTTGGCATCGGAGAGTGGCTCCCTACAGGAGTGGTACGCGGATGATGCCAACTCTGCTGGAATGCTCCGTATATTACTACACATGTAGTGGAACATCCTTGTGTGCCGAGGCCCAGAGTTTGGGTACTTTATCAATGCCACTAAGTCTGTTCTGTTGGTAAAGCTGCAGCACAAAGAAGCCACGAAGGAGGTGTTTAGTGACACTGGCATTGTCATCCGCATGGATGGTCACCGGCACCTGGGAGCTGCACTAGGCACTGAGGAGTTCTGCAGCTCGTATGTAAGGAAGAAGGCAGAGCAATGGTGTGCAGAGGTTAGGCAGGTGTCAGTGTTTGCTGCCACCCAGCCCCAAGCAGCGTACACAGTCTTCACCAACATCCTACGCCACAAGGGGTCGTTCATTGCCCGCACCATGCCCGATGCAGCAGAGGCTGTGCAGCCCGTCGAGCAAGCCGTGTCTGAGTTCTTTCTCCCCGCCCTGTTAGGACGCGCCCCACCTGGAGCTTTGGAGAGAGGTCCTCGCTTTACCGTGTCGCCATGGCGGACTGGGTCTGGTATCGCCAGTGTCACTGGCTGGGCAGTTTCAGCACTCCACGCAAGTGACTGCTCCGCTTGTTGAAAACATCCTTGCCCAGGAATCCTCAATGGAGGGCATTCGAATGGCGACGGCAACGGTCAGCAAGCAGGCGTGTAAGTCTGCCAGGAGGGCTGATGAGCAGTTGGCGCAGAGTGTCGGCCAACGATGTGACCCCTGCATGAAGCGTGCCCTTGACCTCGCCGCCGAAAAGGGGTCATCAAGCTGGCTGACATGCCGCCCAATCAAGCATCATGGCCTGATTCTGCACAAGCAGGCCTTTCGCGATGGCGTCTTTGTCCGCTATGGTTGGACACCGCCACATCTCTCTCTCTCTCTCTCTCTCTCTCTCTCTCTCTCTCTCTCTCTCTCGCTCTCTCTCTCTGCTATTGGCGCGCCTGGTTGTGATGAAGCCGAGACCCAAGGTCGGCAGAGCATCCCAGACCACGCCACCACTCCTCTTATTCATGGCTCACACATGACGGGTTTACGTGGCTCTAGTAAAAAAATATACCGGTATAAATAAATCTGCCTCAGCGCTGCAGTGTACCTGTGGCATGGCATTCTCGCTACAGCACGTCTTATCCTCCCCGACAGAAGGTTATCCTGCAATTCGGCACAACGAGCTGCGAGACATCACTGCTAGGCTCCTGGACGAGGTAGCCTACAATGTTGTAGTGGAGCCGGGTCTCCAGCCGTTATCTGGAGAGCGGTTTTGCCACCGCACCGCAATCCGGGAGGACGGCGTTCGCCTTGATGTTGCGGCCAGCGGAGTGTGGGGTGGCCGGTTTGAGCGAACCTATTTTGATGTTCAGGTGTTCAACCCTTTCACAGGGCTAGCTCAAATCAGGCTCACTCCCTCTCCGCTACATATGCCAAGCATGAAGGTGAGAAGCGCCGACACTACGAGGAGCGTGTGCGGAAGGTCGAACATGCAGTGTTTGTACCATTCGTGTTCAGCGCCACTGGAGGGCAGGGAAAAGCCGCTAGTGCACTTTACAAGCGCCTCGCCACAGTGCTTTGCGAGAAGCGGAAGGAGCCGTATTCGGTCATGATGGCTTATATCAGGTGTCGGCTTGGCTTTGCGCTGATTCGCTCGGCCATTGCGTGACTCAGAGGTCACCGCGGTCGCCCTCACACTGACTGTCTGTAGCATCGACTGGGGCTCCGCATCGCTGAAGGTCTCAGAGTGCTGCTTGCCTGGCTAACCTTGGAGATCCTGCATGGCACATTCATGACAATGTCATGTTACTGTAGTTCTCCACATTCTTGACGTGATCTTCACATTCTTCAGTTGAGCATGACTTACACATTCTAGCTATGGCCTATACCGATAGTATTTTCCGTCACCGTGACGGAAAATACTACCGGTATAGGCAAAATATACAAGAATTCTTGTGGCACAAGAATTCTTGTATATTTTGCCCGTAGAAGAGGCTTTTGAGTTCCCGTGGAAAAAAACAAAGCTACATGCAGCAAGTACAAGTAGTCAAAATCAAGAACGGCATTGTTGAGTGAAGTACTCACGGTATGTGCCCCATGCCGTGGCTAGTGTGGTGCAGACGCCAGCCCAGGTGGTGGGTATTCGAAGTGTGGACGACTTCAAACTGAGGGAATTATCACCGCTACTAGGGTTGCAACGTAGCTACCACAACTCACAAGCCACTGGCGCCATGGCATGGCAGAAGTAAGTATTAGTTACCGGTATCCGTATAGTTGACTGGCCCCCGTCGACGTCGACGTCAGAACAAAAAGTACATGCATCGAGTCTCAGATACGAAACTTTGAAGCTTGGACGGAAGAGAAGTCGTACAGCAGCAGTGAAAAGGAGACCAGATTTGATGAGAAGCGACGTACATTGTAGATCTACTGTCTGTATTGAGCATTATTTGAGGGCTTTCAGAAGATAGTATGCGGAGAACAAGCAGAAACAAGATCATAACCGGTATGTACAATGACATTGATTATTTTTCATTGTCATGTGCACACAAGACTCAAGAGTCCATGGACTCTTGTCTTGATCTTGCTCAGTTGTTGCATGCAGCGCACTCTCGTCTCTGCTCTTGTCTTGATGATACACACGGGACGTGGCCATGGTGACAAGAGCTTTTGACTGTATGCAGTGCTGAACGATGTAGTCTACGTGCACCCTACAACTACAAGTGTAGCTAGCTGTACCATGTGTACTCGAGGATGTCATGCATTTACAAAAATTGGGTTTGATTTGGTGTTCCCTTGTTCAAAGCGCCTACACAATTATGTAGGACGAAAGAGCTCTCGTTGCGATCGCCAGAGCCTTCTTCCAAGTCGTGCCGAAGTGCGTAAGCACGGAGGAAAATGAACTTCTTGAGGCGCATGCGATATGGTACAGTCGCTCAGGACCAGGATGAAGCTGCAACTTGGGAGTACCGGGAAGCCAGGAAAAAAGATTATGCCGATGAAAACGGTGACCACGACTATGGGAAATCATCAATCCCCGATAAGTATAACCTCAGCCTGCTGGAAAAAGGAAAAGGACAGTATTGGACAACGAAGCAATATGTCAAAGAAAAGCTGGGAGTAGGAGAAGACGTTTTCTCCGTCGCTGAAGATGAGACGATTGACATGTGTGTGCACCGTGCACGTCACACTCAGAAACAAGCCATGAAGCTGAGCATGGCGTTGCTGAAGTATCAGAAAGTGCTGCAACGTCTCACCAGTAAGGAAACTGGACTGGGCTTGTTACTGAAGGCGTACGGAGAGTCGGAAACCTCAGCTGGCATGCCGGGCAGTGATGACACTCTGGCTCTGGGCGTTGAAGAGTCTGTCAAGCCATGCCGCACACTGATGTGTAAACTGGGCAGTGCTATGCAGAGCGATGCACTTATGCTGGCTGAACTCGACATGCCAATCACAAAGATGTTTCATGAGGTGGAAACATTTCGTGGGAAAGCGTTGCTCGATTGTCTGAAGGCGGTTAGTGAGTTGAACGAGAAAAAGAAGCACTTTCGAGGAGCTCTGCTGTGGATGACGGACGCAGCAAATTCTATGAGTGATCCCGATGCCAAAAAGGAGCTGAATAACTTCCGCGAGGCTCAGTACATGGTGAAAGTGTGCAAAAAAGAGTTTGAGCAGGCATCAACGAAGGTGCAAAGCAAGACTGAGCTGCTGTTGTCCAGCCTGAACAACCTGTTTTCTTTGCATCTGCCAGGCTATGTGTCCACTCTGGGCAACCAGTTGAAGAGTTCTGAGCAGGCGTACGGTGAGATATTTCGCTGGAGTCGTGAGTCGATGAACCACCAGTACCGCCGTGCAGACGAGATTCAACGGGAGAGGGCAGTAGACCAAGCATTGGATCTTGACCACGATGCGTCCTTTGAGAGCCTCGGAGCGGCTGCAGATGATGTGCAATTTGAGAGCTGGGCTAATGAGGACAGTGCGCCGTCGCGAGGGGCACAGCTGATTGCAAGCGACAACGATGATGGCCGCGATCTGGACTGGTTGCTGGATGAAGATGACTCTGAGGATAAGTGCGACAAGATCCAAGACCTGCTCATGGAGCTGTCCAACGAGAAGCAAGGTTCCAGTGAAGATGCCCTCTCCTCTGCGTTACCGGACAGCGAGCGACGCGAGATGGCTTTGGACTGCAACATGGCAGAGAATAGTGACATGCTCTTTGAAGGTGAGATCAAAAAGATCACCAACGATGAGGGTTGCCTGGAGGACATAATTCCCATGAGTATAGATACAATGGAGAGGCAAAAGCGAGAGGTGGCAAGAGAGGAGCAAATCAGTCAAGAGCTGGACGACCTCCTTGCTGGACTGGAGTTCAACGTTGTTTGCGAGCCAGAGACGGTGCAAGGACAGTCGACAGCTGAAAAGGGAAGTGACCCTCGTGGCGGTGATGAATGCTCCAATGAGCAGAATCTACAGCAGCAGGCAGAGCGCTTTGACAGCGTTAATAACATCTGGGCAGCACTGGAGTCGAACTTCAGTGCAGCATCCATGGCCAAGGAGATCCTGGACGCACCAGAACAGGACGTGGCGACTGGTACTGAGAGCGGTGCTCCACAGAGACAGGCGCCAGGACCAAGCAGCCAGCATAAGGGATTGATGAAGTGGTTCTCCCGTAAACCAACAGAGGCCGAGCAGGATAGTGTTGTTAATGTTGCTGCCGCTGGGGCTGACGCTGGGGCGGCAACTGCACCAGCGTCCAAGTTTGCCTCTCTGTTTGAGAAGCTGGAGCCTGATGCCGATGAACGCACACTGAAAGATCTCCTTGCACTGGACTCCAATGATCAGGAAAGCTCGGCGTTTGCGTTGATGTAGCGAAAGTGCTCGTTTTGCTGACTTGTGACCACAACTACACCAGCATTTAAACCATTATAGCATTCGTCATGAGGATTGTACCTTCGCTCCACCTGCCTTTGGATCTGTTTCACCTAACCCACTATGCAGTTGCTGCAATCTATGTATGCTCTGTAGCAACAATGTATTAGCAGTATACCTTTAACCAGTCACATATCCCGTATATATTTTTATTTTATGTGCCGCTGATTCGACGGGACACCCAGCCCAATCTGGTTCACGGTCTTATTTTGCAACTTGCCCCCCCCCCCCCCCCCCCCCGCCACGTCAAAACTAGTTTCAAGAACGCACGAAAAATCTCCGCTGTAGATTAGCACGTCATATCAAAATAATAATTATGTCTATCATAACACAAGCTAGTGCAATTAATGTATTGTGCAAAAAGCTGGAAGTATTATTACGTGACATTGTGATTGTGCAATTAATGTTACCAGTTAGACAGGATATGGCTCTCTGTCCAAAGTGTGCAGATCTTGTGCACAGACTACAGTGGCCACTTGTGGTGCACGCTCGCCATGCGCACGTGTGTGTGTGTGTGAATTTGTGTCTGTGCATGCATGTAGTGGGTGCGCTCGCTTTTTTTCGGCCGCCATGGTTCCGAGGTGGTCATTTCGATGATTTCCACTCTTATGCTGTCAATGCACCTTGCCACTGTGGAGTTTTGCTGTGCTAGAACAAGCACCAGTACATTGCCATCAGCCACGGCAGCAAACTGTGGAGCAATGCCAGTGCAACTTTAAGCACAAGTATATAGCATGAGTCAGCAGATTTTTGAATGGCCGCTACAAGTATGCAGCGTGAGTGGCTGGTGCAAGTTCAGCGCTGTGCTACGAGTCCGCAATTTCGCCACCGCATAACCTCTATTATCCATATAAAAACCGCTCTGGGAGCGGTTTCAGAAAAACGTATACTGGTGTAGTGCATTCAGTACCCGTACCCCGTCGTAAGAGTACATGCAGCGTCAAGCGCCTCTCAGCCTTGACATCCCGAGTGCTCTCTCACCGACAACCACTGAGGCGACGGTGATGGCTGAATATGCCTGATGTCATCAAAGTCGGTCCACGTGGCTCCGAAAGCATACTTCAGTACATTTGTTCCGATTTCATATGCCACATCTGCAAAATCCGGCAGAAGTTACAATCATGTAGTTTGTTCACCAAGGGTTGGCCTGTGAGAAAATTATACCGGTACATGTATAAGTTTATAACGAGTTGCAAATTCAACAAAATAATTATTAATATCGAAAATCGGTGGGTTAACGAGGAAAAAAGGCTAACGATCTGGGAGAATAAACAAGAACTTAAAAAAGAAATTGATTGGTAGCTTGAGCAACGGTTCAGGAAATTCAGAAAATCTAGACCTGCTTGAAAGATCCATATCCATAACCAGATAACCACTTATCCGAACTACAGAAGCTTTGATCACCAAGACTTTTTTTACGGATAGAGATTAAATTTTAATGGTGAAACGAATACATGTATACCGAATATTCGTTCAGTTGAAAGCCCTATTTGAATGATTTTTGTTTTTTTACTAAAAAGGCCTAACCCTGCCCTGCCAGCTACATGGACTTACGGGGGTCGCCATGGCAAATAATAATGGAAAAATGGCCCAACCCTGCCCTGCCAGTTAGGCCACCCTTTCTTTTTTCGTTGTTTAACGTCCGCGCCCGCGTACCTTTTTGCCTCCGACCGGAAAAAAAACCAAGAAAGTAGTAGTACGAGTATAGTACCAATAATATGCGAAGTTGTAAATACATGATTGTGTGGTTTCACAGTGTGCCGATCATGACCTTAATTAAACTTATAATCTTGCCTCCCGGGCATGCCTTTGTCTTGTGTTCTTTTTCTTTTTTTGTTGGCTTTTAAATATCGTACAGTGTGTGCCCTAGTAAAAATCCAGATGTAATGAGTTCATGACATGCTAACTCCATGCTATGTACCTGTTTTGTTGGATTCATCAGGCATGTGCTCCAATGTACCATCAAAGAGTGTTGTTCTATGCCTGCAAGTGCCGTTAGACCCAGAAATATTGTATATATCACATGCTTTACTGGTCAAAATGTTTGATTGGGGTTTCCAGTTTTTGGAATGGGCTTTTGTTTTTTTTCCGCCCTCCCGCGTACCTTTTCGCGAAAAAAAGGACGTTAAACAATGAATTAACAAAGGGTGGCCTTATGTGGACTTACGGGGGTCGCCATGGCAAATAATAATAAGAACTACAAAAGAAGATCGCGTAATTCACAGAAATAAATAATAAATGCCATGATGAAGACAGAAGAGTGAATAACAGAATGCAAGTGACCATCAATTTGAGCATTTTCATGCTTTTTTCTATTCAAATTGATGGTCACTTGCATTCTGTCATTCTGTAGTTACATTTCGCTGAAGCATCAAGCATGAAAAGCAACTCATGTGTTCTCTAAAGTTGTCTTCTTAGGGAACACTTTGTGAAGCGAAATGTCCCTCCCGAGACTTAATTAAAGCTAAATTAAAATTGGCAAAATGAAGCACCAAGCATGAAAAGCATCTCATCCTGGAGTGAAAGATGATGATACGCCAGTTAGGGTCACTCACTCCCGCCAGGTATCATAATACACACCTCTGTTGATATAACATCTTGGAATTCTGGCACAATCCATTGTGAGACTACATCCATCCGGATACGCCATGCATTGATAAGCACGGCAGGTACCGGCACAAGTTGAAAATCACTTGGTCGTCAGACACCACAAGTCTGCCAGTGTTGCAGCATACCCAAGGTCATCCGCATGGTGCCCGTGCTGCGGAAACGTAACCATAGCTGGCATCTTAACGCCAGCAACGAAGTGCAAGGAGCTGCTCAGGCAACAGGGTGCAGTGGAAGCAAAGAACCCCGCGTGACCAGAGGCCTGCATTCCAACACGCTACCGACACACCGCATGCTGAGCTGCTGTGGACTCTGATCTCCAAAACAGAAAGCGTACTGGTGCAGAAGACATCTCACACATATAGTAGGAGAGTGTTAGCCACACAAAGCAGGTAATGCAACCAGTTGACGTTACCCACACCCAGAAGCTCCCCGTCCACGTCCCCACCCAGCAGGCCGGTGAGCATATAGATTGCCACAATGGCCAGTGATGTGCTGTTCCAATGCCATACTGAACAGACCAGAGCTACCACTACGGACCCAACCAGGACGATAGTGCCAACCTGCTCGGTAAGCTTCTGGTTCCTTTGCGACAATACAAGCACAACTGCGCCAATGAAGGCTACCAGTAAAACAAGCTTGGTGGATAGCATTGACTCCAGCAACCTCTCAAACTGCGGCAGTGAGCTGGCAGCCAAGTTCAGCATAATAAACGGCACTCCAAGAGTAATAACCAAGCAGAACATTGACTGGTGCATGTGAATGACGTCAGGGCTGAAGCCAAACCTCAACACACCCAATCCAGCAGCGGTCGCCGTCAATATCAATCCAAAAGGGAATCCAGGCGGATAAGAGCCTCCCCTGAGCATCTTTATGGCCACCAGTAATGATATACCGGCGAGAAAGGCGTCGGAGATCGCGATGGTCGGGTGTAGTTTGGCCATGCTACTGTGAGAAGGATAAAACTTGTTTACAAAAACTACAGTAGAACTAAAAACAACTCGCAGAGAAGACTCCCAACTCAAACACACACATGTGCACACACACTCACCCTAGCCAAAAGTTATGTACTCTTAAATCTTGTTTAAATAATTATAGTACGGATACCAATCAAGAGTATGAACTCTTGGCGATGTATTTCAAATTTTTTAATCGATGTCATGCGAGCATGCAGTCGACTCACTGTGTGACCAGGTGACGAGGTATATTATGGCACCGCAGGCCGCGCACCTGAGGGCCTTTCTGGAAGCCTTACTCGATCGGATAGAGCGAAACTGAGCACCCTGGGATGCGAGCAGTTATGAGTACTCCCGGGTCCAAAATCTCACCACCAGGCCGGGCTGATCAAAACGTCTGCCGGGTCTGCAGCCTACAAACGTGGATCTGCCGACACTGTGCTGTCGACGACATGTCCCGCAAGGCATCTTGCGTGAAAGCAAGGAACGCTTTTTTTTAGAAAGGAAGCTTCTTCCCCAAAATTTAAAAAATTTAAAATTATTCCTTCTGAAAATATCATCGCGCTCTTGACCTCGAAGCTGACGGCTGAATGCGATTAGGAAAGAAGATTCCTGAAGATGCACCAGACTGATTCTGGCAAGCCGTCTGTCGTCTGGATATGCACTGTTGTTCGTTATGGTCAGCAATCTTCTTCGTTCGTCCTTTCGTTTTCCTGACCACGATGATGACAAGCAGCTCTCATGCTCAGGTTAGTGCTACTTGTATGTCTGGGCACACAACACATCTGAGATGCACCCACTGACGTTATCGAACTGAAGAATGCAGCAAGGGTTCCTCGGATTCTCTTGCTGATTTCGGAACAAATTTCCTTCACTTTCACCCTCTCAGTCTCTTCCCCATGCCCTCCATGCATACACAATGGAGCTTGCATTTCAAATGTTGTTTTTATACTTTGGCAGTGCCTCTGCTACACTTTCATATAGAGTGAGGTCCTGTAAATAGGATCCAACATTGTTGGTGGTGTGTGTGTGTGGGGGGGGGGGGGGGGGGGAGGTATGTTTGCAGCCAGGATGTAGGAATGACACTTCTGCGCAGCAGGTGGCAATAGTCAGAACTGGTCACTCTACAAATCCCATACCTGCCGACCTTTGCAAACCTGAAATGGAATGACATACCCAGGCATGAAAATGTATACAAATATACCTCGCGGTGAGGCATGGAACTAATGCTCTTTTGGGTGCCTATGACCGCCCTCGATGTCGGGATGGTTGTCAGGTATGAAATCCCAACCGAGAAAACCATTTAATAAGAAGGTAAACTCGGCTGGAACGCCGCTTTTCTGGGAATAGAAATTTGTTGTGCCACTTTCGGCTAGTCCTTTTTGCAGAAGTGATTCAGTGCCTCCGCAATGCTGTATGAGGGCCAGGACATAGCAACTTTCTGTATGTCGGGGGGGGGGGGGGGTCATCGTCCGCAACATTGGTAGAGTTACGGTTACATTATGTTATTGTAGATACGTGATTTTTGGACTCGCCTCCAGGGATTTGTCGTAAGCTGGGGCACGCGTACGTGAAGCAAGTGGCAAGAAAGGCCCAGTTCGTACAAGGGAGCAGTAAAATACCGGTATTTTTCTGTTCCTGTGTTCCCACGACGAGTCCTCTGTGCACTGAGTGCAGGTCTCTTGCCGCTCCCTGGTCCCCGGTTCACGTGATCGTGACGTTTATCGAATAAGGTCTATATGCGGGCATGCATAAATCAACCCCTCCACAAGGACGGCTCAAACAGGCAGCCAAGGAGTGAAAATTTCGCTCCTGGGGCTAGGGGTGAAAGAAAGGCCTCAATTTGCCAAATGAACCTTCTCCATCGAAACGAACGAAGGTGTCGAATAATTCTTTTACCAGTTCACAGTTCCTGTTCACACGCACTCCCGGGGGGGGGGGGGGGCTACTATGCGCTTGTAGTGACACTTACCGTAAGCCAAGTTGCACCTATGGAAGCCAAGTGGAACACGACTAGTTGACTGAACAGACTACAGTACAGTATACATGCACATGTATACAGTGAAGATCAGTGCATGGATGCCTGCCATAATCGTATGTTGACCTTCGTTCGAATTGAAAAAGAGAGGGTCGTTTCGAAAAAGAAAAAAAGCTCAATGGAAGTATGATGCTGCTGACAATTCAAGACTCACTGAAGTCGCCTTTCTGGAATGGATCATGCGCTCTAGGTTCATCCAATTGGAAATGGACTCAATCATTGTTACACCATTCTTGTTTGGTTAGTTACTCTACATCCCATAGCATGTACAATCCAACTTGTGAATAATGTACCTCGGGTTTACAAAACAACTCGCAAATAACAATCTTCAGATCTAGTGACCATTTGATTGCATACTTCCAACCTCACGAGTAACAACAATACACCAATAGCGACACTTTTTTCATTCACAATCGAGGGTCAGTATTCCCCAGGTTGACTGCAATTGCCAATCAAACAGGAGGAGGGAAAGTCGACCACGGCTGAAAAGGCGTAAAGAAAATGTATGTCATGAGCTAGATGGCAGAAGGAGGAAGTAGGTTTTCTGAGAAAGCAAGAAACAGAGGTGAATGAAGCACCAGGTCTGTCAATGCAGTGGATAGAATTATTGGATTGAAAGACAGGCTCTTTACGTCAGCTTGCTACTATTATACCTACATTTATTATTATTATTATGACGGATAACCCAAAGGCAATGGTTTGCTTTCTGCCTTTTTCATGCAGGATTCTGAAAGCTGGAGCAGCTCTGCTTACCTCGACCACTGAACTTACAACTAACTTCCAACCAAGTTCAAGGCAGCATTATGATGAATCAAGCACGCTTGCCATCATTTCATCATTGCAAAGTACATCGACAATATAGATTTGGTGCTGACTATGTATGATGCAGAGTGTGCTCTATGTATCTATACTACTGATTGGCCTACATTGTACTTATGTGGGCTGAGAGTAATCGACTGTGCTGTATGGCAGTTTACTTGCATGTCATAGATGTTCACATTGCACACAGCTACTGAATTGCTTTCTGTTGCACTGGCCTACTGCGGCCCACTGCAAATAGATTGTAGTGGCATGGGCCATGCCATCATTATAGTGGTATACCGGTAATATACCAACAGTTTCACTGGTACACTGTACTTACTGGTGGATCTACATCATGCACAGCCTTGTCACTGCTTTTCTCACTTTTTATTAATTTACTGTACTGTACACATTTTGGCACAGCTCTTCCACAAAGAGTTACTAGTATTTTCTTCTGCATACCTACTGTATACAGTGACCTGACTGGTAACATCTATGGCTGTGAAATCACAAATTTCTGGGTTGACAGCCTCAAACCTATACGATTTGTTTCTAAGAACGTGCTATAAGAAGTATTCTATTAAAGTATTCTACTGGAGCTCGCAGGACATAGAGTGAGTTTGGAGCACCACTCACTCTTCTGTGATTTGGATGTCAAATTATGAAATTCAGTTTGTGAGGTAAACCCATGCATGGCATTCACTGCTATAGTATGACTCGGGGTAAAGTGTTCCAACGCATACTCATTATAGTGAATAGTTGTGTGTCAGTTAATCGGTGCCCAACGTTGTTGCTGCTGGATAAATAAATATTCTGAGATAACTGAAGCTACACAGCCATCTAATGTTCAGACATGCATGCATCGAAGGGGCCGTAACGAGATCTGCAAGGCATGATTCTATACCTATATTCGATGCTCTCTAGCAGGACATTCATCTGCCTCATTTTCTCTGTGCTGCATTGATGAGCGAAACAGCATGCTGTCCGCAGATTGAGTATTGTGTATAGACAGACGTGTATGTAGTGGTAAAGCTCAAATACATGTACAACATGACAATCAATAACAATCCCCGTCTTTTACAACAGCACAAACCCAGCACCACAATTCTTAAATTTGGGCTGTGGTGTTCTTAGTATTCCAGGCTGGATGTTCTAGGCTTCCACGCTCTTGGGCGCACGACTTTACTGTGCCGAAGAATATTTTCAGCCAATGAACCCAGAGCTTGGTGGCATGGTGCCATGGAACAGCCTTTTGCATGTGGCTTTCACTACATGCACATGTACAACGTTCAATTGATGCGGAAAAATCAGACAAGGACTTTTGCAGTTATGAGCAAGGTCCCCACGAATGGTCATGTCACTTCACAGAATACATGAACTGATAGATTAGACCTCGGTCCCCTCAGAGAACGCTTGGGTGAAGTCGGTTTCAACTGAGGACATGTCCAAAACCATGCTAAGTACTTGAGCTGCTCATGAACCCCACAATTATCAGGCCCACCGGAACCAGTCTGGTTGGTCGGGTTATCACCGGACCAACTTGTTGGCCACCAACACATGTTTCCTGCTGTGGAGGACGTGTGTACCCGCCATATCACACACAAAGTATAAAAGGCCATGAAACTACCAGACCGATCAAAAACTGCTTCCGGCGGTACTGATTATACAGTACAGGTTTAAAAAGCAGCTCCATTTTTGTCATACATCAAACCAACTCTGTCATTGCTATGCTACTCAAAAAGAGTAGTGATGTTTATTCACAAAAGAATCACAATGCTAGCAGAGAAATTCGATATTCTCCAATTTTAGGGGCACTAAAGTACTATGCAAAAATTAATGCTGCATGGTCATTGGTATGAAGCAGTCACCTCAGTACAGCAATTAAACAGGCTGATTATGTGAACGGGATTCACGGCAAATCTTCTTCCATCAGTGCTGTTCAGTCTTGAGTGGTCCACTGAGGCAGGAAAACAACCTGTTCGGTCCTTCCATACGAGAAACAGAAATTGAACATGTTCCAGGGTGGAGGTGGCGAGCATCGGAAATGTAATGCACCTTTAGGCCAACACGACCATCATTCCGACATGGATTCTCAAACACCTTCGCTCGTGAGAGTGCCTCAGAGTGGTATTCATCAACAGATGGCAATCCTGTAAAACACATGAAAAGACATAGCAGCAACACAAAGAAACCTAATGTTATAGAAACGAATTCGAAAAACAAAGTCTACTGAACCAAGGTACAACCACACTCCAGGAGGCAAGCAAAAGTGCATATAATCCGAAGGTTGCGATGCCTGTATGTATTGTATTCATTGATTCATGGATTCTCCACAGGCCTTAGCCTAAATCGAGGGAGTCTCTGTCATGCCACACTGGATACAACATGCTACCAGAATCACTTTCCCCAGTATTGATGATCTTTTCTTAGGGTGTTATATTATAAAACATATCTGTAGCCACTTCATCTTGCTCACGAAATCATACACCACCACACAAGCGGGCCCTTCGGCTATTATAATTTGGGTGGTGATGTATGATATTGATAATCTATTGATACTAGGGCTGAAACGATTATATCGGTTATCCGTCTAATCGATCATAACAAGGAAACGATTTCGATTACGCTGTTTGTTTCGATTACGCGATTCTAAAAAAAAGAAACGTCTGCAAGAATCAAAAGATGTCATGTACAGCACTACTAGATACTGTACTTTGTCCTTTTCCTCGTTTCTTTTTGTTGTCCATATGTTTTCCAGTAGGGCTGTGAAAAAATTAAAAAATTAAAAACTGACTGTCTGCACCTGCACGTGATGTGCCACTGCATTGCGTAGAGTACGCGGTCTATCTGCACGTGTGTATGTACATGTATATGTGTATATTTCAACACGGCATGCTTTGTGCTGGTCTGGCGCGACAATTTCTAGGACGCAGTAATCAATAATCATAATCGATAATCGAATCGATACAAGGGTAGGTTAACCGATAGTTGAAAAGTGTAATCGTTTCACCCCTAATTGATACCATATCCAAGTCTGACTCTCACCGTGAGATCCTGGCAACAATATTACCTGGTACATGACATATTCAGACACTGACGTAAGCATCTTTCTGGAACAACACGTGTGCCTATCTGCTAGTGTAATGTGACACACATGCAGAATCAGTCATAGCTAATTTTACCCCCTCACTGTTGTATGCGCAGACTCCACTTTGCGGTGTCAAGTACTCTTCTTTCGGTGGACTACTTCACTAAGGCGCTTGTCTAAAAGGACTCACGTTCATCCTGCAAACCTACACGACTTGCATAGTTTTCACTGTCGGCCGAAGTCCATGCATTGCACACATTGAGATTCACTCCCTCCGTACAGGCCAGTACAGAGCTGCCCACCAATTGAGTCTGTTTTGCGTACTCAGACTTCTGATTTTCCGTATCTTGCAGTGTTTTGCGTACTGCCGTGTACATTGCATGCATACTTGCACTACAAAGTTCTTTGACACGCACATGCATGTCGGTGGCTGCATTTGGTAGTGTAAAACATGTGTGACTTGCACTCACGACATTATTTTTTGTGCTACATGTACATGTTGTCATGGTACGGCATGCACTCGCTTTGGTACAAGACTATTCATCGCTCAGCTTACACTTGCAATGCTTCTACACAGCTGATTGATCCTCTTCGATTTTCTGTACCATTTGCCCAAATTCTGTAGTGCGAACAAGGAGTGATTTTCCGCACAAATACAGAAAAATATTTTTATTTTTTTCAGTCATTTTCACGACATATTTTCTTTATCATGATCCCCGGGTGTACGTGTGGCGTTCTTACGAACGCGGAAACGCAGTCTTTCTAACCGAGTCTCACGTGCACTGTGAATTTGTTCTTCTTTTATTCACAATGCCATGTATCGATTCATCGCTTCTTCGCACCTGAGATCCTGTGCAACAGCGATTTAAAGATTAGCTTTATCAAATAGTGATCAGAGAGAGAGAGAGAGAGAGAGAGAGAGAGGGTCAGTTGTGGGTGCTGTGACAGCATAGAGTGGAGATTGGTGCAAACATCATTGCCCAGCAGAACCGTATTCATAATCATAGGGACCTGCGTTTAGCATTACATTTTGGAAGCTATTTTTTAGAATTTTTACAGGCCCAATAAGCCTAAAGAGAAGAACACTTAACTTAGACTGTCCTAACGTTATCGAACGCACCGCCAAAGTAAAAAAAAACATTTGAAATGCAAGCTCCATTGTGCATGCATGGAGGGCATGGGGAAGAGACTGAGAGGGTGAAAGTGAAGGAATTTGTTCCGAAATCAAGAGAATCCGAGGAACCCTTGCTGCATTCTTCAGTTCGATAACGTCAGTGGGTGCATCTCAGATGTGTTGTGTGCCCAGACATACAAGTAGCACTAACCTGAGCATGAGAGCTGCTTGTCATCATCGTGGTCAGGAAAACGAAAGGACGAACGAAGAAGATTGCTGACCATAACGAACAACAGTGCATATCCAGACGACAGACGGCTTGCCAGAACCAGTCTGGTGCATCTTCAGGAATCTTCTTTCCTAATCGCATTCAGCAGTCAGCTTCGAGGTCAAGAGCGCGATGAAATGATTTTCAGAAGGAATAATTTTAAATTTTTTTTAAATTTTGGAGAAGAAGCTTCCTTTCTAAAAAAAAGCGTTCCTTGCTTTCACGCAAGGTGCCTTGCGGGACATGTCGTCGACAGCACAGTGTCGGCAGATCCACGTTTGTAGGCTGCAGACCCGGCAGACGTTTTGATCAGCCCGGCCTGGTGGTGAGATTTTGGACCCGGGAGTACTAAAAACTGCTCGCATCCCAGGGTGCTCAGTTTCGCTCTATCCGATCGAGTAAGGCTTCCAGAAAGGCCCTCAGGTGCGCGGCCTGCGGTGCCATAATATACCTCAGGTGACTGCATGCATGCGCTCGCCGCTTGCCTTGGTCTTGCGGCTTGCCGCGCGCTTGGTCAGGTTGTATGACATCAGCTGATGCGCGAAAGTGTCATACAAATATCATCATGTCATGACATTGTGTAGAAATCACTTCATCATCCCATCCATGCACATGCATGTCTCCGCGGCCCGCGGGTCAGTAGGTAGATCTACTAGGTCTACCTTTTCAGCTACACACACTTTACCACCCCTATCTCTCTGATCTAAATTTCTAATCCCTCTACGATCTGCGGGCACTGCATTATGCACAACGAACATTTTTTGTATTTTGTGTCTGAACTCTCTTTGAATTGTTGACTGCTGGCGGCAGTTCCCTGCTGTGTCAGTAGTGCTGTCCTTTGAGGTGATGCTGGTACATGCATTTGTTCTGTCCATTGGACGTGTTTACCCTCATCTGAGATTGTCCCCAAACTTGAAGCTTCCAAGTCATTAATTTTTTGGGAGCTGTTTGTATCGACACATGGGTTTTGAATACTGGTAGTTTCCGACAGATCCTGTATCGTCTTGGCCATTATAACAAGTATTGGCTAGGTATCAAGAAACATCTCTGGATAGTACGCCGGGTTGGACTGTGTAAGCGATGAGAGGTGGCGACCATCCGGATGACAATGAGCCTTTATTCGGCGAGACGAAGAGATCGGTACGTTCTTTGGCAATGCAAACTTCTTCATTAGTTTTGAAACTTGCATGCTGAGAAGTTGATGTTGTCGGACTTTACAGAGACCAGTCTGGCATTTATGTTGACTGGGAGGGAGTCATACATGGTGGCCAATGAGAGCTCGTCAATGCCCCGAATTTTCCAATACTAGTAGACTTTAGAAAATGAAAATTGCGAATTTAGAATTTAGGAGCGAATTGTAACGTTCTGTGATGCGTGAAATGTAGAGAGCTCACGTTAAGAACACGTGTGTGGTCTGCAGCTTCGCAGGATGTCCACTTGAAGATGAGGCTCTCTACATTGGTATATGCAGACAGAACGTCTGTAGTGGGCATCTCTAATTTGACAGCAGACTTTCAAAACGTGTCGCACTCGGAACAGGAAACTCAAGAACACATTCTACATGAATTCTTTTTTTGCAAATGTAGAGCAGAGTATAATTATCCTTTTGCGACACACGGAGTCCTGGACACGAGTACTCTCAACCTTCGCTAAGAAATCCTCTGCCACGTAAAGCGAAACGTCACTGATGAGAGAATGACCACTTGCACAGTGCTGCCCGTGCTTGAGCATTTTAATCGTTTGCAGACTCGCTTCATGGTATGCCTACCAAGGGCGTCGGAAGGTACATGGGTGTGGCTATGAAAAGGTTTTTTTATTTTTTTATTGCGGACAATCAATGCGATCGTACGATGAAAATAAAGAACATTGAAAAAATTAAGAACTTTGAAACTCCACTGTAGCCTTGTCATATTCTCAGTATACCCAACTCGCAACACACTAACAGTCCTTGGCAACACCACGTACAGTTGAAATTGTCCAAATTTTCACCCAGGAGGGCATCATCAGGGATTATAGGAGAAGAATGATACAAAGTTGGCTTTTATAAGACAGTACAGGAACAGTCACATAATTCACACTACATACTTCACACTACTACATGTAATTTGAAACACATTATAAGCTAGCACTAAGACATAACAATGTAAGTGAGCATTTCATCAAGTGCAAAGTGGGCGTGAAACAGCCATGGTTGAGTTGATGTGTGTGTTTGTGTGGCGAGAGGGGAGGGGGTTAAGAGTCAAGTATGGAGTGCGTTAATCTTCTCAAGCTCTCAAGTCAGGTGTGGTTATCCATTCGAGATGTCGAATCTGAGATCCCGCACTCGCTGTGATAACACAAGGTGTGGAATACCCAGTCTGTAGATCAGCCATGTGCTGGGAAGTTTGATTCATGCCAAAAGGCGCCAACCCTTGTCGCTGTTCACCTTTGGTCGTCGATTTCTGATCTCTGTTGCCTCAAGGTACTTGCGTGATGGAAGAGAAGGCTCCCTGCCGAGAATCTTCGCCTGGTGGAAGGGCTGAAATTGTGAAGATGATGTGTGAGATTCTCGGTGGTGGGTTTTGTAGTGGTTGCCCCAGGGAGCTTTCTCCACCATCGTCCGCGCTTCCCGGTAGTGCTCCTGAAACCGCTCCCGCACTGGCCGCTCGGCTTCCCCGACGTAGAGCTCTTGACAAAGCGTGCACATCATACTGTAGACAACATGCTTCGCCACACATTCACGATCAGACATACCCGTATCACATGCTCTACACACCATCGGTGCACCACGACCACGCTTCACCTTCGCTCTCTGCACCTCACGGGGACATACACGGGCAGACAATGATGACCGAACAAGTTTCCTCTTCAGTGATGGGCCAGATGTGAACACAATACGAACATCAGGACTGAACCGGCGCACGCGTCGAGAAACCCGAGCGGACAGTGCTTCGTTGATGAACGGCAGCTTCAGGATGACTTGGTCCGGTTTCTTCCACTGGCGGGGTGTTGCATTTGCGAAGCGAGCAGCATTCTTGATGGCGCGGCTTATTTCATTGTCGGGGTAATCATTTGCCTTCAGCAGTGCAGAGATCTTCCCAATCCCGGCTTCCCTTTTCCCTTTTCGGTCGATGCGTTCCTCATAGCCCTGCCAAACTGGTTCTTAGCTACTGCGCGCTTGGAGGCCATCGGCACTGCTGACACTGACCTGTCTCTTATTGCAGTAGTCACTGAACACAGTTACTGGTTTCCTCTAGCACGAAGTCAACTTGTGCTGCACTCTTGATAACGAACAAGAGCAGAACTAAGCTTGCCCTGACCATACCTGGCTGAGGGGTGATGTGATGTGTTACCTCAAGCGCCCTTTCTGTGTCATCAAATACTATGTAGTTGTGTATAAAAACGATGTATCGTATTCTGAGCATTTGAAGAGTGTGTTGACACATAGGCAGCATGCATGGTGCATTGTGGTTTATGCATGAATTTGCGGCTCCTATCGAAATAATTTTTGAAGAAAAGCATCGGCTTTTGTGGCGATAATCACTGCTACTTTTACATTGTATGTGTGCAACTGGTGGTTTACATTTCTTTGTATTAGGATCGCATTATCCAGTATGTGCTTACGGGGGCGGTGACGTTTATGGTGCTTGTAAGTACTCCTGCTGCTGCTGCTGCTGCTACGTGTACTGTACTTACGAATTAAAGTTACGATAGAGAAGTCCAAGACAGGGTAAGACAGGATCACCCGCTCCTCAATTTGGTTTTGATCTGTGTCAGGGTTTTTTTTTCACTATTGGGCGCAGCTGACATTATCTGCTTTGTGGAATAAACTTTGAGAGTTGAGACAGTAAATAGCACAAAGTGGTGGTGGTGATGGTGGCGGGGGTAAGTGACATCCAACCCCTGGTTTGCCTCACGTCAGAGTCTACAATCATGCATGTCATTAGAACTGATGGAAATGTTTTGTTCCATTGATTGGCTACATCAAACTTTCTCTTTGCATTCGAGGGTAATACGACACCGTCTACCACCTTGATGACCTAGGCAAAAAAAAGCATAGGGATGTTATAAATTTTTCATTTCTCCTATTTTTTCAAGACATAACCTGGGATTCGAACCCGCACTATCGGCCTGCATGCATTCCCCCGATACACTTCGCATACATACTCATTCTTCCAAGTTGCTTCACGGTATGATCTTACATTTGAAAGCCCTATTTGAATATTGTGGCCAGCTGTCTTTGATGGTACGGGACAGGTACGGGATAGCGCCAGGCATGCCGACGGCACAAACACACACGGAATTAAAGCTGTGTGGACCCTGGCTAGTGCCAGACGTTACTGAAGTAACGTCTTTTGCATAGCTACGGGAATGAAATAATACTGGTGTTTGCTTTCTATTGGCTCAGCATAGGCTGGTCTTGAACACATGCAGTGCCTGTACAGAGGTCTAAATGTAGGTTTAAACGCTTCACCCGGGGCGTGAGGCGACAGGTATTCTATTGTGGTATGTGTACTGTCTGTCACCTTTTGCTGCACAGTTCACTGTGGCAAGTGCGTTCTTCTACTTCGATAACAAGGCGAAAGGTGAAAAGGTCCCGATAACCAACATCTTCTATGCATTGTCACTTATGCTCATTGTCATCGGCCAAATTGTAATGGTGAGTTGCTTTCCTCTTTTATGTGGCTGCGGAATTCTTACTGGATCCTCACTGTCACCGTGTGAAGTTGTGCTGTGTAGTTGTTGATACCCCCCTATGGTGTGCTGTGTTGTTTATTGGTGCTTCCACCGTCACCCTAGTGTTTGTGTGACGTGCTGTGAATGTTCTGTGATTTCTCAGGCCACAGGACTCTAGTGGGTTACTGTATGACGTCTCCCCGTAGGCTCACAGTCTTGCTGCCATGTGTAGTGTGAAGTGTGCAAGAATTCTGAACATGACACCACTGTGTGATGGTGCAGCATGAGAAACTTTAGGGTTCACGGATTGGCATGCTAGCGTCGCCAGCTACATCATGCACGTGACAGGCGCGTGCATATACTGTCCCGCACAATCGGTCAGTGCTCAAATCGCATTTTCCCATCAATATCACTCACTTTCAACTCTACGGGATTCATTACGGTTGGCTCAAACTGCCTGAATTTTTGAATCCACACGCACGAAAGACGTTCCAAGACTTCCACCGTTCGTATTTTTTCAAACGAGTTCCGGGTTTTCCAGTAACTTTGGCCAAAGTTCGGCTAAAAAAACAGGGGGAGCCGTTGCGTTTCCGTAAAATACTGAACGGTAGAAGGATAGCCAAGGTCGAGAGCAAAACAACAAGCCATTATTTGTCAAAGTCGAACAAGAAACGGCTCAGCGCATCTATTTTCCGTGCACGCGCGCGCGTACTTTGGCCGACAAGGTGTGGAGAATTTCTGAAGAAGAAGAATAACAAGAGCAGCAGCGCTCGGAACAGCCGTGCTGGATACTTCCAATCCCGACGATGGAGCGTGTTGGCTGTCGTGAGCTGCTGAAACGACCATGACATTTCTTTTTCTTTGTATACCCTACATATCTTGACGTGCCCTAGCTCAGTTTCGGCCTCTTTACAGGAAGAATATTTTCTTCCATGGCATCAGCGGCCAAACAGCAAGAAGAGCAACAGATCGAGATTTGCAGGGCAAACAAAGGATGCGTGCAGCTACATCTAGTCAGGTTCGATGCGCTTTGCCAGAACCTCAGCAGATAAGAAAAGACGACAGAGTGTCTCAGATGGAACTGGATCTTCCGCCAAGACCGCCACCGCCGCCATCATCAAGTCCAGGTCAGTCAGAAAAATGCAAAGTCCGATCGCAGTGAAGCCACTGAAGCCAAGGAAAAATTCAAAAAGTACGCTCTCCGGCTAGACTTCGAGTCGATATTTTTTTACTTCGATAGGCGCTGTCGCGGCCTGTAGCGCGCGTCCATAATCCAAAATGGAGGCGCACGTGACGGGTGCTTTTAGTGGCAAGCCGTGAACCCTAAACTTGACAGCCTTGCCACCCCAGCTGGTCATGTGTGGGTGTGTGTGGGGGGGGGGGGGGGGCATCTATTGTGGTGTGGCATCCTTCACCTCAGCAGTGTGATGTGCACACGTGGTGCCGTACCTGTCAGCGATACCATGTGCTAAATCCACACTCCATATGGTGATACGTAAAAGTGCTGGGTCTGTGTACAGTATGGCGTTGTCACATATAAGAGTCTTCTCCAGCACTTTGGCCACATTCTTGTTGGGACTTGCTGTGGATCGAATGGACCGCTGCTGATAATGCGACTTCCCTGTTGCTACTTCTTCAGCTCAGGATGATGTCATGGAGTGGACGCTTACTGGCCTAGGATTCCTGATGCGGACATGGTGTTTGTGGTGCTGACATGGGATGCTGCTTACTAAGGCGTTAGGAATGTTCGCACTGACAGGTTGTGGTGTTGCATTGTGTGTGCACGCGTGTATGCGCAATGTGTGTGTGTGTGCACGCGTGGTTGTCCTGCCATGTGCCACTACGCAGATAATATGGTATCGAGAAGGTGATCTGGATCCGAAGTTTCGACGCTTCATCTACTTCAATGCGTTCACCACCATTCTGCTATGCATTGCCGGTAACCTGTTCTTCCATCTGCCTTTCGCTGGCGACTGTGACCCATGTACGTGTCCCACACAACCACCCACGGCGCCACCGACCACGTGAGTTGCTAGCTGGCTACATTGCTTCCTTGCTGCCACCTTATCATTTCCCTGCCCCCGCTGAGCGTTATTTGCATGTGTGCGTCCTTTGCCGCCGCCGTGAGAGATAGTTTTTTACCGTCGGAGTTAAATATTGAATACTAATACAAGTAGTGCTAGTAGTGCTAGTAAAATTGTTTTTACTATGGTTAAGTGCCAACATAAAACATCTCATCATCCCATATGAGCACAGCGCTGCCTTCCATGTGAATGTGTGCAACGAGAATCACATCATGAAACTAATATTACGAAATTCTTATAAATCTTCAGCCATACCACCGACACTTTCTCGTTTTTAGTCTTGTCTATTCTTACCTGCAACAGGTGTTCCTTGAGATGATTTTTGTTAGCTTTGATCGCTGCATTGTGTTCTCATCCTACAATTATGTAATTATGTTCTGTCTATTTTAGTATCATGATGAAGTGTTCTTATTCAATGGAATCTATGACATTTTTCACTGTACGAATTTAGAACTAGCTCTCTCTATCTCTCTCTCTCAACTCTCTGCATGGAGTTGCCCTCCATCTTTGTGTAGTAGAAAACTTGCACATGAAATGAGTGTGATAGTAAAGTTAGTATTCCTTAAAAAATTGATAGTCTGAGTGACAACTACAGTGGAGCCACTTCTATTATCATCATTACTCCACACAGCAAGCAAACCAACACTGTCCAACACAATGTCAAATCGTAGGGAGGAGTAACGTATCCACCGTCACTCAACACAGAATGATATCACATGAACTTTCTGCTTCATGAGCATAACTGGACTTTGTTTTTAAAAAAATTGGACGTGTTGCAATGCAGATCAGTCGATGCACTTGTCAAGAAAGTAAAAACAAGAACGGGTCAAGGTGGACAGACACACAAACCAATGCAGATCAAAACGTGAATACATTTGTCAAGAAAGTAAAAACAAAGCAAGGTCAAGGTGGACAGACAAGCAGAGCATGAGCAGCCGAATAGAGCAGAATAAGATGCTGAGGGCACAGGGAGAATAATAAGCATTCATGTGCTGCAATTGTGGCAAGCTGCGGCTTCACCGGATTTAGGCAGAAGATGTGGCAAAGACTCAGATGGCGAGCAATTACAGTAAAATAACCGGAACTGCCAAGTGGTAGCACAGGAGTCAGCGAATGAGTGTTGCTGGCATGTGATTGCCGAGCGGAGCAGAACCATAGGGCTTTGGTGCAGTGGGAGATGCAGCCGGCTTCGGCTTCTTTTCCTGGCAGCGGAAGCAGGAGTACTTTTCCACGCTGTGTGCCACATGCGGTGCCAAGTCGATGCAGAGGAGATGATACCAAAGATTGCACTCATCACACTGCACCCACTCGACCTCCGCGCAGTTCTTGGAAGGACGTAGACACACTTTAGCCTCGCACAGTTCATCACTATTGTCGGAGGCAGCGGAACCCGGCATAGCAGGATCGTCAGACTGCAATCTTTTCTTCCTCTTTTTCTTTGGCTCCGGGGACGGACTTCGATGACCATTTTTGCTGCTACTCCGGAAGGCAATCTGTTGACACACACAGAAGAAGAAAGAAGATGGTATAGCCAGACTTCGCTTATCAGGTCCTCTTTTACCCGCATCCCTCGCCATCCAGAAGAAAGTCGGTGGTAACCGATTTACACTATACCTCACGCATACAACATAACTGGAACTCGCGATCCGAATACCGGTGCATGGTTTTGTGTACAGACGGGTTCAAACGTGTACAAAAAGATTCGCCATATCCATTTTCCATGTGCCACGCAGAAGCCAAAACAGAGAAGTGCACAGACCAGGGAGTCGTGCCCAAATCACTTATGTTTGGGTATGACTCCCTGGTAGGTCTACCAGGAAATAGCAACGCTACACATGCATAGCGTTAGTACATGCAAGTAGCAACACAGCACAACACAACACATGCATAGCGTCAGTACATGCAAGTAGCAACACAGCACAACCCAACACATGCATCGTGATTAGTGTACATACCATGCCAGCTTGGGGCGCACGAGGCTGGACACGAATGTTGTTCATCTGCTGATGGTTGGCTTTGAGCACGGTCCAGATCAGATGCACTTCATCTAGGCTAACTTCCAACAGATCGCCCAGTAACATCAGCTCTTCGAGGTGAGCACACATACTCACCGAGAGGATGCGGCCACTCAGAGACTCCATGACATGTGGATCTAGGGACCTGAGCCCTGCCACCGACAGGTAGGAGTCGACCGGTCGCTTCTCCGCGGCCAGATTACTGTGTGCCCCCGAGCCGGCACTGTTCACCACCTGCATCATCTTGGTCATCTCAGCCGCTGAAGGGGTGAATGGACGCACACCAACCGTACGCAGGTGATTGGCTTGCGCCGCGTCGCGCTCGTCAAAGATCTGCAACGCAGCCGAGAGTGAATGTCGTGCCTGAATCTGCCACTGGATGGCACGTTGGATGAGCACGCGCAGACAGGTAGCCTCCGGCACCTGTACGTTGATGTTGCGCAAGTCCACGTACAGCTCTCCGGCCTGAGTCAGCATGGGCTTGGCGGAGCGCTTGCACAGCGAGCAGAGCAGGCGGCCGTAGCGATCTGGCGTCTCATCGGCGTGCAGGCAATCACGATGGTAGTAGTTCAAGCACACTTCACAGCGCAGCATACAATCAGACAGTGGCTTACGGCAATGACAGTACAGGCCGTGCACAACGGGCATGGACGAACGACAGTCACGGATATACGAGGAGAGGAAATGTGCTCGCACTTGTCGCACATGCTCCAGCTCCGATGCAGCCAAGTCCCAGATCAAGGCAGCTTCGTCGTTTGACTTGAGGCTACGACGTCGCTGCAGGATGTTGACCGGCTTGTGCCTTTGGTCTAGACGATTCAGCACATCTGTGCGAGGATATAAGATCTGAATGCAAGCACACACATGCACACACACGCATGAGCGCACGCACGCACACACACACACACACACACACACACACACACACACACACACACACACACACACACACACAAAGAAAATATTAGCTTCGTGAGCACAGCCGATATACCAGCACTGGGTGACACTGGGTGACTATCTGTGCTGACAAGTCATCCGACTGAACACTACTCATCACATGGGGTGGTTGATACAGCAAGGTATTCGACATGGGCGAACATTCGACAAAATCGATTGCAATAATTTCAGGTTACCCCGGTAACAGTGTTGAGTGATTGCATTCTACAGACGGTGGTCATCAGTTCGGTTGGTACAACCTAGAACAGGATTCACCAGAACAGCGCGTTTGGTTGGGGCTGCACCTGTTCTGGGTCGGCCAGAACATGTTCTGCTTGCTCCGGCCTCGAGGCCGGAGCAGACCGAGCCCTAATGATTGCGTGCATACGCTTTTGGGTTGGACTCGTTGTA